CAAGCCTTTCTTGGCGATGCTCATTATTACTGAAGTGCCAATACTTCCATAACTGCCGAAATCGGTTCTTTGGCATAGTATTCCCAAAAATAGGTGTATGTAATCCAGGGTGAATAGACCATTCGTCTTCTAGTTTCCTTACTATTCCCATTAGATACAAGGCCCAAAGTTTTTCATTTCTACAACATTTCTTTCAATCCAAGCTTTATTCTTTGTTATGCAGTGTGTTATCATATTCTGATGATTATGATATAAGTTGTTTTGTGTGGCAAACAAATTAAATAAATCGTCCCCAATGACAATCCACAGTTGATAAATATCTGTGTGTATAGTACCTGTAACCAAACCGTTCCGGGCAAGCTAAAGTTAGTTTAAAATCAACTTCGACCATCATTTGCCACAGAATTCTTTCATCACTTTCAGATTCACTATTATTGGTCTTCCCTTACTTTTGAATCGTCTCAATTATATCGCTCCCATTGGTCCGAATCACTTCACTATTAGAGCAATTATCCTCTTCTGATAACAGATCAGATATATTTCCATCGAAGAGCATCTTGAAGGATATCTTTAAATCTACGAAAGTTTCCGATATTGAAGGCACAAGAAGTCTCAATAACAAAACAGCATCCAAGAAAAAGATTTCAATAATAGCAGTCGTGAATTGGGAGAGGAAAACAGTTGAGCCAATGTTTCCTGATCGTCAAATGTTTTGCTATAGTATGTCTATCTATACAAACGTTGATGTGAAGCATCGTCATTGGCGAAAATCATGCATACACGACAGCGGCCGATAACCGTTGGCGAGCTAAAGTCACGCCAGTGTGATAGCGGCCCGCAAAGTGTTTAGCCACCCAGACAATATAGTAGTTAGGAGAGCCGACTGCAATACCAAAGGGCCTGGGTTCGATTCCCGGAGAAGGCATGGTTGTAACTGTCCATCCCTTCATAGGAGGCAAAGGTGGCCCACCTATTAGGTGCTTCCATAATAAAGTGACCACCACTTCTGACCTTAGTACTGGTCAAGCCGAAATTAGCTGAGGGTCCATCATTGGGGGGATGTTAAGTTTACAGGGTGAAAATGTTTTTAAAATTGAAATAAGATAACTGTTTTGTGAAAAATGACTTGTTTTATTTTCGAAATTGTTTATAATGCTGGTTTGAAGCATCATCTCTAAAATAAAAAATTTGATGTTGGTGAAGTTTGCACTCCACTTTCTTCACTCTCGAACTTGTTTTTCATTTCTGGAGAAATGCCGGGCAGCCATATTGTTATTAGAATTTTCATCAAACACAGTCACCTATAGTTTGAAATTTGCCATATAAGAACTTCTCTTTCCACTTACCTTTCAGACAAAAAATAAAATGACACAGAAAATAAGACTATCACAGACAACAAATGAAAGGAAAAAATGCGCTAGCTTCTGATAAGATTACTAGATTAAAAACTATCATCATTCCTTCCACCCTCACAGCCACATTTTTTATTCCAGTTTATATATGTGTATGCTGAATTTGGGGTACATTTTTGAAGAAAAAACATTCTTGGCTTATACACAGATCTACTTTTTTAAGAAAGATACATGAAATTGCAATTTATCACCTATGACATGGTGCCTTGTGATTAAATACACCAATTCCAACACTGCTGCCACTATTCATAAAAGCGAAAGAAGTCTTTACTTGAGAAATTGTTCAAACCCTCATTCCAGCTACTTAGTATAAATATAATACATATTAAGGTATATTTTGAAAATATACCTATTAAGGTCTATTTTGAACTTGGAGATTTAAAGAAATTGCATAAAGCATAGTCAAGGTTGTTCAGCAGAAATGGTGTAATTTTTTGCTTAAGACAAATATTTTCTCACAGTGATGTTCCATGGTACATTGTCACAGTGAATGAACCATGTGTTTGCAATTTCATGATAGCTACTGCACAATTCTTCATAAGTATCTGAATAACTTGAACCGAACTTGTTCTAAGTTCTCAAAGTTGATAGATGTCCTCATCTTACTCATTTTCAATATTTTTCCTTCTGTACCTGAACATTCTACATAACCTGAAGAAAATACCGACACAGCATTCCATAAGCTGTTCTAAAAAACTAGTGTTTAGATGAACTTCATTATCTGAAGTACATCTGCAATTTCACCCATGGTCAAGACATAAAAGCTAATGCAAACATTGCCAAAGAATAGAGTATACAAAGATTTGGTTCAACTGAAAAAAGTCAATAAGTCACACTATATATCTAAGTGCCACACCACCTGCCTCTTAATTCTTCTGCATTGAGTAGGAATAAATCATTTTTATTACTCTTGAATGAATGAGCATACATTCAAAAATTACTGCATTAAGCATTTTTCAGCTTAAATAAAATTTTTAAAAAATCTTTAAAAATAAGTTATTTTTAAACAAATCATTTAAACATTTAAACAAATCATTAAAACTTTACAATTTTTGTAATTATGTTTAAAAATACTTAATCTGCCTATAAACATAATTACCATAATTTCGGATAAAACAGTTGTGAATTATATGTGTTTAAAAACTGAAAATTTATATATGCCAGGGTGATGTATCTAAAGGAATTTTCCTCTGTTTTTAGAACTTAATTTAATTAAGATCATTAATTTAGATCATTAAGTTACGCAGAAGTGATTAATGTAGAACCCGCTGCCACATTTTAGCCTGAGAGAAGTGCTCAAATTGTCCTAAGGCAGTGCAACAAGTTCGAGCTCGCATGAAACGCACTTAATTACTGTAAGGTGTACTTAGTATAAAGACACCATAATGAATGTACTTTCTGCTCAACTCCATGGTTTTGTCTACGTTTCCCAATTACCATTTTCTTTTCAACGGCTACAGTAACTTTCATTTCGTCAAGTTCAATGTTCATTCTTATATGTAACTCACTGCTTTGTGGTTCACTTATTGATTACTTGTTCCATTGCTTGCTTTATCATTTGCATTTGATGAATTTTAAATATTATTATTATCATTATTTGGCTTCTACTGGGAAAAAAAAATTATATAGCAGCTTTTAAACGTTTGGCAGTGAAGAAAGCAACAGAAACTGGAACTCGGACAACCGCTAGATAATTTCAAGTTCACAAAAGATGAATTTGGTAGTGGAAGTCCGAACAAGAATTAGAGAAAATGCTCTTAAGAATAAAATATCTTGTCAGACTGGAATCATAGTCTGGCCTGTTTTGGAAAACAATTTAGAGAAATGGACAAGTGAGTTGAAAGCAAAGGGACTACAGTGCCAACAATTAGAATTCCCATTCAAGCAAAAGTAATTACTGAACAAATGAGCAATAAAAACTTTATTGGAGAGTTTTGGTGTTTCAAGTTCATGAAGCAAAATACATTATCCATCAGGAAAAAAACAAAAATTGGACAAAGGCCTCTCACAAAGTGGTTGAAAAAAGATAGCTTTTTTGAAGTACACATACAAAGAAAATTACAGAACAACAGAGAGCAAATAATTAATGTGGATGAAGTACCCAGTGGATGGAGTGTTTTGAATACCCATTCAACAATTCAAACATGAAAAAGAACGGATGTGCGAAGAAATGATGTTTGGGCTGACAGAAATTTATTGAAAAAGTAAAGGTGCTTTTTTTCAGTCTCAGAAACTTATCATTCTAGATTCAATGCAATCTTAGTGGTGGATATGATGTCTCAGTGATATTAGATGGGCTTATAGTAATTTCATAGCCACTGAATCCCACTACCAATAGAATTCTCAAGTGTGAACTTTAAAAGCAGTGGGAGAAATAAATGTGATGCAGACACAATTCCTTCAAAACATTTGGACAGATAAAAAAAGTTTCATACGAAGGAAGTTGCCTTGTGGATCAACAAAGCATGGCAATCAGTGAGAGCTGACATAATCATACCAGCTTTCATGAAATTGGAAATCATTGAAAAAGAAAATGAAAATGAAGATAACAATGTTGAAAGAAGTGATACTCTTTACACTTACATTGTAATTATTGTTATAAATGATGATAATTAAACCAATATGGAAGGGAATTATTAAATATTATGTGTCATGTTTTGAGATGCTTTATTGTGGTATATCCAATGAACTTTGTTTTAGTCAATCATCATGTGTGCGTCATATTTGCCAAGATGGTTTATCTACCCAAAATTATGGTATATGTGCATATTCATAGTGTTGGAAAAAAAATGTCAGCATGATTAATTTTTTTATTGACCGTTAGGAATTTTTTGAAAGAGTTTCAATACTATGCATAAATTGCATAAATATATTGTTTGTTTGTAATAAAACACTTGAAAGCTACATGGCTAAGGAAAGGACAACCTTCAAGTAGTACTTTTTATGGGAAATTAGCTAGTATTCATGATATTCAAAGGAATATCATGATGAAGGAAACACAGAAATGACAATGCAAAGGTTTTAACTTGAATGAAACTACCACTGTTTAATGGTTTTGACAACTTGGCAGGAAACATATATAAAAATGTAACTTTTTGTACAGTTCCCATATGGCAAAATTTCCTATTACTAAAATATTAATTATTAAATTATACCTACTACTAAAATATTATTTATTACTGTATAGACTTCCTAGAATTATTAACAAAAGTGGGATTTTAAGCACTTTGACTATGGTGCTTCACATCCAAATATATAGAAGAGCCATGCAAAAATCACTCGTACATCTCATTAATATAAGCACCAACATTTATTTAATTTTTAGTAAATAAGACAAAGATTATCAAAACTCTAAGAGCCTTGAAATATTCTGTTCTCCATATACTTTAGTTGTATTCAAATTTGGAAATGGAACCAAAGTCTGTCTCAAAGGAAAGGAAAATCTTTAAATTATCTCCCATTATGTTATTCGATCCTTTTTCTTTCTTTTTTTTTTTTTAAATAAATATTCTAACAAACAGCAATTTTGCTTTTAATTTTTAAACCGCTGGCTTAAATGCACGGAAATAGAAGGTTATTAATACTTACTTGAGGTCTTCCTTTTTGGTGACCTTCCAACAGAAGCTTTATACGGATGATGAGGTGAAGTAGAATGACACTTAGAATAAGGACTTGATTGTGATCTAAAGATTAAAACAAAATAATTATATATCTAGTATAAAATGACATTTAAAGAAAAATTATATGAATTCTGAATTCAGGTACATAATATATGGCACTACAAACAGCCTGAATTACAACTGCTATAAAGTTCTTAAAAAATATCAATTGGCTCTATTATAAATTAAATATAACTAAAATTATATCAATTAGATATATTATAATGTCTTTACTCTTGACTGCCATATTTTTGGGAAGCACAAAATCTTCTCAAATATCTAGGATTGTTTAAATCTTGTTTGGAAAGTAAACAAGCAATACTCCCTACAATTTGAATAAAAAAGCTCATTATCTTGACCGCTGCTATTTATGACAGTTAGCTCCATATATACACAGATGGTTGCAGAATATGCAACTAAAATAATAATAGATTTGGTGCTTCTCAAGCGGTTTCAATATTTGTTTAGAAATACTGTTCTAAATTTGACAAAGAGATAACAGGTGTTTCTTTTGCAAATGATAAAATTACAACTAACATTGTTGAAAGAGCTCAACACCGTAATTATTTTAGATTCTCATGTTATCACTGTCTCTTAGTACAGTCTTGCTAAATGAAATGAAATTGTTTTAAGATGTTTAAAAGGAAATGCAATTTAATGTCTCCTGAGCCACTACAATCTCTTTAGAAATGAAGAGACAGATGATTCAGCTAAGACTAAATTTTAAATGTTTCATCTAGATAAAAAGCCTTATTGTTTGTTACAGAGTATTAAGTACAGAAAGTGTTACTTAATATGATCATGCTTGTTAATGACTATTTTAATAACATTAACTGAGTGATAACATAAAAAAATGTCTTTCAAATTAGCAACAGACATTAACTAATTTAGTATAAGTAGAAACATATAAATACTTATTTTCATAGCATTTTAAATAAGAATAAAATTATTACTGGTGCATCATCTGCAAACATCATGAAAAAGTTCATTTATGAATTGTGTCAAACATTTTTAGAAATTATGTAACAGTTGTTGCATTCCCACCTTAACACACAGACAACATTCCTTATTTCACTATTTATAGGGAATTTACCGAATTAATTATCAAGTTCTTCAGAAAGTTTATTACATGAAGTGCTCGGATTTGTTTCAGAAAAAGCAAATATCTTTTGCCATCCTCTTTTGCCTGAATAAGAGAGACCTGTGTCTGATCATTCTTAAAATCAAGAGAGTTATTAAAAACCTGCACCAAACTAAATAAAAGGTTACTTTTTGACCTAATTTTAAATGGCTGGTTAAAATAAAAACTAAGCAGTTTGTTGGCTTAATCCCTTACATGGTAACAGTTTTCAGTCACTAGGCAATTCTTAAAATTTATTTTGACCTTATTTGGGGAATTTACTTCAATCTGAAAAATTCATTGTACAGTACAAAGTCCGAAATCTGGACGTCCATTATCCGGAATGACCTAAAATCCGGACCTCAAAACCACCAGCAACATTTTTCTCCTAGGCTTTATGCATGCACATCTGATTCTCCTCTCCGAGCATAATAAAGCATCTGGAGAGTCCCGATTCTTAATTTCACTTCGACACTAAATAAAATACCTTGCTGTTGAAGAAACAATCATTTTAGCATAAATTTTGGATCAGTATTTGCTTCGGCTGTGCATCTGCTTGGCACCATCTCACCGAAACATTCACATAGCTGTAGACACAAATCGCTGATCTGATGTGAACCTGTGAATCATGTTTATTATACTTTTTCATCACCACTGTTTATCAAAACATGAAACGAGTAGTGACTCGTGTAGCTATGCCGACAATTTTTTTTTTTTATATTATTAATTGAATAGCAAAGGATAGGTAACCTTTTATTGGACATTATGCTTGGATGATTCAGATTTAAGTTAAAGCGCTAAAATATGTTTGAAAAAATTTAAAAAAAATTTCTTTTTAGATAAAATCGAGATTTTGTTGATGATATAGACCCAAAGATACATTTAGGCTACTGAATTAAGAATAACTGATTGTTTTCACAAAAACCGAACCAGCATCAGGCTCGATTCGCAGAATTTAGGACCCACAGAGACGCATCCGGTAAGATATCTAGCGCCGGCCCCTCATAAGGCTTTAAGTATATGTGGGAATTTATTTTTCAAACTTTGAAGCCATAAGCATGGCGAGAATTGACATAAGTACAATAAATACTAAATAAATGCAAATGGCTCATTGCCTCAAGCACGATTGAAGCAAGAATAAAATTACGAACAACTTGTCTTTAGTCGCCAAGCTCATGATGTAAGCCAAATCTATCCAGTGAAGGATAGATTATAGCTGCGAAAAGTTTTCGATATCGCAGGTAGTTTTCAATTAACATTCTAAAGAAATGAGAAGCAGTATAAATGAAGAAATATAAAGCGTTTTCATTGTGATAACAATGCTTCTCAATCAGCAAATTAATAATGAATGGCAAAATCTGCAGTATGTTCTGATCCGAAGACCCACTACCGAGTGAAAAGTGACAGAAGTTACAGAAAACAAAAATTTTCGATTGATAAGTTAGGGAATTCCGAAACAGTAATACAGGACTTCAACAATGTAACTAAACAGAGATTATGCTGTCTCGAATTAAAGAAAAGTATTAGCACAAAAAACGAAGCAACTTAAACAACTTACATTGAAAGAAATGTTTAATAAGGTAAACAAATAAAGAGTATGCTTTTTTTTGGACATTTTGATAACCTTTAGATCATAAATACTTCAATATTTCATAAATCACGATTTCATATTTTAATTTTATAATTTCTACATGCCATCTACTAGATCTAGATCTTACTAGATTTAAAATGACGATCTAATATCCGGAAAAATCCCAAATCTGGAATCGCCGAAGTCCCGACGAGTTTGGATTTTGGACTTTGTACTGTATAACATTTCGATAACATTAACTGGATTACTGAATGTAGTAAGCAATGTATTTTCTACATTTTCATATAGGAAAGAGCGGGAATTCAGCAATTCAATAACAATATCCGAACTTTAACATTTACTATGATCACATTAAGTGGCATCTACTGTTCATTGGTTCTTCTAAAACCAATGTACAACCAACACATTAAGGATTCAATAACAAATAAGTCCTGCAGAAAAATAAATGCATCCCCAATCCCTTGACTAGGAATATGGGAGTAGCTTGTTTTAAATTAAACACTGGAAAAGACTATTTACAAAGACTTAAATTATGTAAAAATGAAACCTGGATTTGATTAGTTTGCAGGAAAATAAAGACTATCTGCATATGAGAAGGAATGCCTTTATGGAGGACTTCAAATAGCTCAGATCTATGTTACATATTAGGAAAACCACTAAAACTCACATGCAACTCATTGCTTATAACTGGTTGGTCTACAAACACTTTTTTATGCAATTCAATAAAATTTCTAGAGCTAAATTAAAGATCTTGGGTCACGTTGAGTGGCAAAACTCTGGAAGTTGGTTATTTACAAGGCCATGTTGAAAATATGAAAATAAAGTTAAGATCACATTTTGACACATTAATAAAACTCATAAAGATGCATAGTAGTGTAATACAATATAACACATCACCAAGTCTAAATTTTTCTTCAAAAATTCTACTAAAAAATGGTTGAAATATATGTATATATAAAAAAACAGTTTAGAAGACGTATGCAAAATCATAATATTTTTTAAGTTTAATGAGTGTTTCAAAAATGTTAAACAAACAAAGAAACTTAGATAACAGTTTTAAGTGCATTCATCAGAAACAGTTTTATGTGCATTCGTTAGAAACTAAATGAATGTTACCTTGATCTACGGATTTCAAAATCTTCTATTGTATATGTTCTATTGTCTACGTCAGACCTATAGAAGAGAACTTTCCCTGAAATTGCCATTTCTACTATTACACCAATAATATTAAAATCAAAATCTCTTCTTCTAAAAAAACATTTATTTGCAATATACAAAACCCACACACAAAATACAAAGAAAATTTTTTATCAGGTAAAAGCTTTTCAGGTATGATGCTTAAAATTATAAAATCAAGAACATATAAAAACAGCACAAAACAATTACAAAAGGGGGGAATGCAAAATGACAAAATACAAAACAAACAAGCAAAACAAAAAGACCTCTTTTTTCTTTCTAAACGTTTAAGAGTGACAGCTGACAGTTTAGGTTTTTTAGGGAGCTGAGGAGTTGGAGGTTTAGCGGCAACCTGCATGAAAGAAAATAAAATTAGGAACCATTAACAAAAATATTAATAGGTATGCATCATTTAGGTTAAAATAACTCACCAAACAAATATTAATTCTGAAGTCAAACAATAAAAATCAGCATTATATCTGCAAATTTCCACAGGACTAGTTCCGATGGTTGTACCGAACCAGCAACCTCAGCTGCCAAAATGCAAATGAACAAGATAAATTATAGTGATAGATAAAATAAGAATGGCTGGAGAGGAGTTAAGCTACTGGCGACATCTATTGATGAAACAAGAAAACTGAAGGCATTTCACATTCAAAAAAAAATCTTTCTGTTCTAGTTTAATGACCCTAATTCCAATCCATCTTTACCTTCAGCCTTTAAGAAAATTATGTTTAGTTAAGCTACTGGCACCATCTGTTTCATCAACATACAGCACCAGTAGCTTAACTCCTGTCCAACCTGTTATCTTACCTTATCTTGTTCATCTGCACTTTGGCAGCTGAGGATGATGGTTTGGTAAAACCATCAAAACTAGTCCTGTGAAAATTTGCAAATATAACGCTGATTTTTGTTGGACTTCTAAATTAATAGGTATGCATCATACCAAATACTTTATTCAGCAGTGCTAAAGTAAATGTTATGCTAAAGAAGCAAAATATTTTATAACTTTGTGTAAAGATCTTAAAAAAGATAAGCTAAAAATAAATTATATATATATATATAAATACATACACACAGTCTATACATGCATGTAAAAAATCAAGTTTAACTTTTATGTTTCCATTAATTCTTATCATATGCAATCAACTAATAAATAGTAATAATAAATAGTAATTTTTTTAATTTTGATACAGGCGAAAATTATGTGCTAAAACAATTATTGTTCGATACGTAAATTTAAACTCTCTTATGTCTACGACAGTTTGATGTAACAATTGTAGTTTATCCATTGTAGAGTAAATTTTGAAAAAAAGGAAAATGGAGATGACATGAGAGCATTATCATGCTATGATTTCTCATAATTTAAAGGTGGGGCTAAATCAAGAAGAATGCTTACAACATCTACAATTAGCACATGGAAATGAAGCTTTATCTCAAGCCACTGTATTGAGATGTTTTAGAAAATTTTGAAGAGGTTCAAATTCTCTTCTGGGGAAAAACACATAGGAAGTCCTTTGTCAGCCATAATCCCAGAAAATGTGTCAGACATACAAAAAATGTTAATCAATGATAAGCATTGTATCTACTAAATGATACAGAAAGACTTAACATTGTATCCACAACTATACATAAAATCACACATGAATATGAAATAAATTAGTGTATTGTTGGGTCTACCATAAATTAACAGAACACCAAAAAAACCACAGCTTGTTAGAATCAGCAATGAAAGTGGAAAATTACTTAATGATGGCAGACACCATATTATTTCTAAAATCAAAATCAGAACTTGTGATGAAAAACACATACCATTGTTTGATGCATCAAAATTATGGGTCTTTGAAGATGAACCTAACTAATAATAGTAAAACGACAACAAGGAATGGAAAAAGTAATGTACACTGCTTTTTGAAAACAATCAAGTTAGAGGAAAAAGAAGACCAACCAACTAACTGGTACACCACTAAATGTCTTCCAGAAATTTTTCGGGAATTGAATATTTGAGGACTAATGCTTCACCACGATAATACATCTCCTCATTCAACAGAAAAAAAAAAAAAAAAAAAAAACTTATTTCCTGCACAAAAACATACTGAAGTGACAGAATATCCACTGTATTCTCCAGATCTGGCAATGCATGACTTTTGGCTGTTTTTTAATGTAAAATAAAATTTATATGGTGGTCAATTCCATTCTTCCAGATGATGAGGATATAAAAGCATGTTTTTCATCAATTCTAACAAATGCATGTCTTGAAGCATTTAGTCTTTGAAAAATTTGCCTATAAAAATGCACTGATATTGGAGGTAATTACTTTGAACACATCTAAAATTTGGCAAGTTTAATATGCACCATTTAGCTCATTTAAGATTTAGTATCTCAAAAATTTCACAGTGACATTAGTATTTTAAAATGAAATTTACAGTTATTAATATGTTGGCCTTATATAAGATTCAGTTACATACAGATAGAGTTATTACCAGGATTAAACAGAAGGGCTAGCTCATTCCTTTGCGTGATTCCTCGCCAACGGGATCCTCGTATGGGGGGGGGGAAGGTAGCAGGAAGTAGTCTGACATCACTATGTTGCATCTGCTCTAACTTCGCCTGTTTAAAACTAGCAATGTGGATATCCAAAATTAATTTTAATCACATACACTTTTTTTCTAGTAAAGCATTGTCCCAATCAAACTGACGGCTCACATTCCAAATGCAGCCTTCGAAGTAACTTTACGCTGCCTGCAAATACTTTTCCCATAAATTTATCAGCACTATTATGACAAGAATTTGAAGAAAAAGTTTAAGATTTTAATGGTTTAGAGTCCAGTTTTATGTTATATTCATTACCAAAAATGAATGTAACTCTTCAGAAAATCTAGAAATAGAGCTAAATAATTTACACTGTAATATAAATCTTAAAAGATTTTAAGATACAAATTTGATTAACTTTTATTAGTACTCCTCAAAAGATAAATATCTTAAGTTACAAATTTTTGCAATAAGAATACTTGCTTTGTTTTTGAGTACATTTACATGTGACCAGTTTTTTCTTCGTATTGAAAATTAGTAAGTCTATGAAAAGAACCAGACTGCTGATGAGTATCTACAATTTGTGATGATACTTTTTGTGAAATTTAATCCAAGATTACAAACTTCAAGAAAATAGAAACATCGTAAGGTGATGTAGCTAAAAGATTGCAGTAAAAAAAAAAAAGAAAAAAAAAAAAAAAAAAAGAGGATATTTAGAGTAATTTATATACAAATATTACTTTTTCTCTTTCGTGTCATAAAAAAATCTCATAATTAAAAGCAAAAGAATAGGTTATCATTATTTAATCTCAAGTTTTATTCTTGGGAAGCTTTTGTATATTTCTTTTTAGTTTAAATCAAAAGTAAGTTACTCAGTAATTCAACATATTACAATTAGTTGAATAAATGCCACATTGAAAATTCTAAAATTTAACTGTCTGTCTGAATTTGAAATTGTGACCAACAGAAATTTCTTCCAGATACCAACTTTTAGATTTCGTGCAAATTTGATATTTTTCTTTATGTTATTTTCATTCATATGTTTTCACAAGTATCTAGTAAAAAGTTTTTAATTAACAAACGTTGTTTTGTTTAAAAAAAAAAATACTGTCTCTCTCTCTCTTTTTTTTTTTTTTTGTTTGTTTTGTTTTCAATTGCTGCCCATTAGATACTTTCAAATTGTGCATTGGCCCATGTGCAATGTAAGTTTGAGACCACTGTTGTAAAGTATCGTTTATGTAATATGTCTTCTTGAGTTGTGGCAAAGTGCCATAAAATGTACAGAAATGAGAAAGACAGGGATATTGTATTTCATATTTTTCCAAAGGTCAATTTGCTTTTCGGTAAAAAAAATGGATACATGTGTCAAAGACAGGATTCTATTAATGTGAAGAATGCAAGAATTTGATATGAACATGTTCTATACAATCATTGTGAAGATCACATGAAAAATCGCTTACTTGGATTGCTGCAAAAACAAGTGTTAAAATCCAATACTTTGCGAAGAAACGAAAAATAATGCAGAGTACTTTTGGAAGATTACACGAATTAAGTTTGAAGAAAAGGCATGAAGAAATGTCCTAACGGTAAAAATACACAAAAATGCATTGATTATTTGTAAAAAACAAAGCTGGCTCAGTATTTAAGGCAATTTATAATCATATAGAATGTCAAAGTAATTTTGCATCAAAAAGATCTTCCTCCTTCGGCCCTCTGTTGAAAGATTAAGTAATTCTCATATCAAGCTCAAGGCAATGATCTTGTACTTATTAAAATGTAATATATGTGTATATATGTGCATATAAGTTAGAAAATTATTTTAAAAATACCTGTTATTATATCAAATCAGAAGAGAAACACGCCAATGTAAAATTTATAATTAGGTCTAAAAAGCAATCTTAGATTAGATTAAATTTTGAATAAAACTATCAATTTCAGAAGCAGTCAAATGTAAGTTCCTCTTCTTTAACAGCAGGGGGGGGGGAACTTACATATATATTCAAAACTACGCCAAAGCAAGTTTTTTGGGGGGAAAGGGACTAACTTTAAAAAACTTTTATTATAGTTATCTTAGAAAGAGTATTAGAATTCTTTCACTTAGTATGCAGATGAAGAAAAGATAATGGATGCCATAGTTTTTTCCATCATGATTTAATAATAAATGCACAGTAGAAAAAACCTGCAACTTTTAAGAAAATGCAGCATATTTTATCTATTATTTTAAAATTAATAAATAAGTACTATTAACTTTTTAACATTATAAATGCTTACAGTAATAACATCTTCTCTTCTAAATTAAAGCTATTTTTTCATGCACGGTTTTCTTAAATTTAAATTCTCTTCTAAATTAAAGCTATTTTTTCATGCACTGTTTTTTTAAATTTAAAACATTTATTTCTCTGCTGCAAATTGCAGTCAGTGTCAACATGACTATGTCATCACTCCTCACTTTCTGTTTAAGGGGGAAAAGCTCTATGAACTAGCCCTCCTCTTCTAAGTCAAAGTTATTATCATATTGGTCTCACTATAACAATTAGAATAATGGACTTGCATTCCACAATGCATGTTAAAATTGAAGAATATTTACAGAAATAAAACTGAACTATTACTAAGTGAAAAAATATTAAAAACAATTTTGCAAAAGCATTATTTGACATGAATTAACATGTTTAGCACTTGTATCTAAAAATATTGAGTTAAATTTATGAAAAATTAAAAACGAGAAAATGATCCTCCATGCTTTGAAACCAATTTTACCATAGTATGGACATGCAGCTCAATGCTATCACTTTTAGATGATTCACCCTAAACCATTCAAAAAAGCTTCCATTGAAATAGGATCTTTCATGAACAAAAAAATCTGATGTGTACACCACGACTTCCTTGTATGGAATATTAAATTATACACACTTTTTCTTGCATTTCATTTAAACTTATTGGATTGAATAAAATCTACTTCGCCAACAGCACATAAACCACAATAGAATAAATGCATTCTTTAAAATTCACTCTAGTATTTGTTTACCATAGCGACACTCTGGCACTAGATTCACTTAACAGTATTATATTTCGTTCATATTATAACTCATAATGCACAATATTTATATCATTTAAAGAATAGAATTATCTAATCATTGCCACATGTTCTATTCAAATACTATAATAAAGCTAGAATTATGTATAAAAGAAATTAAGCAAACAAAACAAAAAGGAAACAGTTTTTCACAGACGATTGAGTATTTCTCATTCAATTAATTCAGTTCTTACTTCATAAGAAGGCAAAAATACATAAAAACTCAAAATATCTATATTAAAAATTACGAAGTAAATCTTAAACACTTATTTCCTCGAAAAAATTCCAAAAAGGATTAAGCATGATTTAATTGGGAATAATAAATGAAGGTGTTATCTTTGTTGTTGCAAAGCTAAGTTTCTCTAGATTGGCAACAAATCACTAGTCTGCTGTTTCAAATGTAAACAATCAATGGCCGCCATAAAAAAAGAGGCTTAGCGGCACTTGAACAACTTTAAAATTGTTGATAACAGTCACGTTTTTTTGGGGGGGAGGTAATATGAAGTGATTTATTAGTTTATTTAGTTCCTGCTTTTAGGGATTGCTTTGCCTTTGTGGCCTCTTATTTTGAAGATAAGTGCCTTCCCCTTCCTATGAAACTATTGATCTTTCAGTTCTGAATGCAGCAACATTTAAATTGTACAAATAGCTCAAACAAGAAAAGGAGATATGAGCAAATACACTCTCAATGGGCCTTGCCAACCAGTTCTTCCCAAGATTCGAGAAGCTCATGTCACATCGACCTTGTACTCGTATTACACTATATAAATATGCCTCTGAACATTCAGACAAGCAGTTATTGTTGCTAGTTTGTTGTTATTCAGCTGTGAGATTTAGCATGAGCTTAATTGTGATTTAGAGTTTACTTGGTAAGTTATTTTGGCAACTGATATTTCTTGAACACTAAGGAGGAATTGCTTAATATCCATATTCTCTTTGAGCTCAGTTACTTATTTTATTGCATATAGTTGATTTTTGGAATAAATTGGCAATTTCTCCTTGTTTATTGGGAGTGATCGTTTAGAGAGATATCAATTAACCCATAGCCCATAACAACTGGTCTCAGAGTTGTGGATTTTTTTTTAAAGTCAAAACCAGGAAGATGGAAGAGTTACTGACAGTTGTTACAGAAATTAATACTACCAGCCAAAACAAAACAGCAACTAAAGATGCTGAAATGAAGACCTTGATTGAAACAAATGCTGAGATGACCTTCAGTGATGGAAAATGCTGTTGTGATGAGGAAGGATGGAACAGAAATAAAGGAGAGCACTGCTGCCGTCGAAGGGGAAATTCTCAGCACTGTAAATGACACAGCAGTCACTATAGAAGAAAAATGAGAGAGAGAGAGAATGTTAATCAAGAAATTTCTGCATTAAACAAGACATAAAACAAAGAAATTCTAAGATTAAAACAAAAGTTTTAGGTCCCGTTTCATCTATAAACAAGATGACAACCCAATCTGCTTTGAACAATATCCAGTTCAGCTTTCTCATAGCAGTTAAGGTCTTGCCATATGACACGTCATCACAGAACACATATAAGACTCAGTTTGAAATGATTTTGCAGGCAAATCAGTAGGATATTGTCACCTGCATTTTTCAAAGAGGTTGCTGGTATTTTACAGATGTTTCCAGCTGAAAAATTTTCAGATATTGAAGCCTTAGTTAATATTAAGACACAATAACACGGCAAATCATTTGCGGTTTTGCAGCTGAGGATGGTGGTTTGGTAAAACCATCGAAACTAGTCTTGTGAAAATTTTGTAAATATAATGCTGATTTTTGTTGTTTGACTTCCTTAGTTAATATGTTAGAACTGCAATGAAATGAAACATTTTTCAAGAATTACCACCGACTGCATTTAAGACCTGACAACATAAAATCAAGCCCTTTAAGAATTAGGTACCAACACTGAAAAATGAATAAAATTAGCATTTACAGACTGTGACCAAGAAATTAAGATATACTGATTCTTTAATATTTTGTGGTTGCTGTTATGAATAATAATGTAGTATAACAAACACTCCAGATAGCTGATAAATAAAAATTTAAAGACTGAAAACACACTGAGTCTTCAATATTTTGTGGGTACTGTTAGGGATTTGGCCATACAACAAGTACTCTGGATACCTGATAATAAAGATTTAAAGAGTGCTAAAGAGAATGCCATGAAAATGAAGATTGCACAAGAAAATGAAGAAAAGATCATTGGTTTAGAAGTGGTGCCAACAGTGCAGAAGACATACAAATAAAAGTGGTGATGGAGCTGACGAAAAATTTTGAAGGTGGTGGAAACTTCCAAAGTGAAATGGAACAGTAATTCAGCTTATATTCCATGACTTTGAGCTAACAAAGAAAATGGCTTTTTGATGCAACTGCTGCTCTTGGCCACTCTCACAGAGGATGATTGCTAATTGAATCATGAGGATGATTACTAATTGAATCACGAGGATGATTACTAATTGAATCACTGCTTAAAAAATACTTTCATGTTATTAATATGACAATTTAGGATATTCAGATCATAAACAACTTCCTATTTTGTGTTTCCTAGTTCTACATTCTATCAGTTAATTGCCAATTTCGCTTTTAATTTAAATGATGCCATAGCTAATGAATACTCATCATGCTCAAAAAGCATATTGATTTTAAACAACCGCACACAACCACATTCTAACATCTGTCTATTACATAACATGATATCAATTGCCTAATTTATATATTTCTTGCACTAACCTATGTGCAGAAGTCCAATTATACTTTCAATTCCAAATAATGAAAATAAATAATTGCACCATTGCAGACTGGTAGAAAAGTTTAATCAGAAAACATATATTTTCTTTTCTTTTACCCTTTAATTTCGATGAGCTGCAGGGTCAAAAATAAGTGACTCTTAAAAAATCATTTCTAACAATCAAACCTATATGAAAAATTATTCTGATGTGAAACATTACTTTGCCAAACAAGTTCACTCATTTAATGAGTGCTTTTGAATACTGTATTAGCTCAAATGTATATATTCTCTGCCACTTTTTTAAAGTGTTTACTACAGCAGGGAAAGATTTGCATATAAGACAGCTGATATGAAATGCAGAAGATATTCTAAAAGAAAGAAAATGTAATGGCCTAAATGCTATAACTTGTGAAAAAACTAGATAAAATAACAGCTCATTTTTAAATACTTCAGCATCTTTATAACTCAAGAACATCAAATTTAAATTTGAATTACTAGCAGTTTTATTATATATAAAGAAATGTATATCTATTATAACAAATAACTCAATGGTAGTACATAAGTGACTGCATAATTTTTTACAATCAATTTAAATATCTAGCATTCTACAAACACAGTAAAATGTTTTATTACATTTAAGTTCCTATTCAAATATGAGATACATTTTAGAAAGCATCCCCACACATCATGCAAAAAGTATTAATCTTCTATGTGTTAATTTTATAAAGAATATCATAATAAAAATAAAATATTAATATATTAAATATCTAGTATTTTTACTTCAGAAGATGCAGGGCTTTCTTTCAAATTCTTCTCCTTCTTTTGTTTAAGGCGAAGATGGCGAGATTCTGCAATGATTTCCATCCTTTCTTTTGTGCTTATTTTATAAAAAATATCGTGAACACTGTCAAGAGTGTTAAACAGCTAAGAAGAAAATATTTAAACTAAATATTAGAAAACAGATATTGTAAAAATAATGCATTATTATTTATCATGTAAAGAGAAACTATGTCACTATTCATGGTTGCACAGATGTAACTGCAAAATCTATGTACATTTGATTCAAACTATTGAACTACAATATTTTTTTTAATGCAGAAGTTTTGATAAATATGTTTTAGATGGTATAATATTCTGACACAACACATTTATAAACTACAGCAATTTGGAGTAACATGTAATGAAAGTCCAAATAATTCCATTTTCTCATGGAGTTTAACTGGCACATATAATTTAAAATCAAAATTCATAAATAAATTGACTTGCACATTATTACAATTTTAAGAGTTCAGTACAACTGGAACCTTTGCAGATGATATTTCCATCTCAGCAGCCAAAATCCAAATGATATATCCAATTTCCAAACTTCACATCCAGTCATTGAACTCTGTGACAATGCATCAAGAATGATTAATCTAAAGCTATCCCACAGAATGCAGAGTGCTCATAGAATCCCATAACGTGCAGGTAGAGACATTTTTTTTTTTTTTTTTTTTTTTTTTTTTTTTTTTTTTTTTTTTTTTTTTGTTTCCCATTTTATGAGCAGATAGCACATAAATCAGCCAGCACAAAGGCAATTCAAACAAGGCAGCTGCAATAAATGGCAGAATTTTGGGTACTCTTCTGTTATCAGGAACAGATTCAGAAATGTATGCACATATGCCCATGTGTATGTATGTATGCGAGGATATGTACACATATACTCACATACATATAGGGTAATTGTAAATTATTTTTAAAAATTAAGAGGGGTGATAGTACTCATCCAGATGAGCAATAATTACCATAGAACATAGAGTTGCATTCAACTCTGAGATGCAGAAAAGAGGGATATTAGAATTCCAACCTGAACTTACAACAGTGTTGGGAGAGAGAATGAATGAGACGAAAAGCTGCACAATCAGTTTAGTGGAAAAGTCACAGAGAATGCACAAAATCGATAAAACCGAAAACTTGTCGTTCGAGTGTTAATTCGAGCTCGGACTTTGAAGGCAAACACTGAAATGCACATCTTTGGTTGGCAAGGGCTCAACCTCTCATTTATATATCTTTTCTGAATAATTCATTAAAAAATTTATTAAAACAAAATTCTAAACAGTGTTGGGGGGAATCTCAAAATAACAACTGTGATTAAAAAATACCACGATGTAAAAATAAAAAAAAATAATAATAATAAAGGGGGGGAAGGATAATTTTTCCATCCCACACAGAATGAGAGAGAAAGAGAAATAGGTTGCCACAAAGAGAAGTTTGGCCAGTGAATAATTCTTGGCACAAAATAAAAAAAGTGCGCCAAGGTAAATTTTCAAATTACTGATTAAATTTAACATCAAATTTTACAAAATTTGGTTTTTAGATATAATTTGAGTCGTAGAATTGAAACGTGGGAAAAAATTTGCATGTCATTTCAGAAAAAGTTAGATTTGTATCAAAATGCATGTGTTACAAGAATACTATATAAAAATCTAATATTTATCTTTATCTTAGTCATGCTTTTAAGACATGAAAAATGAATATTGTCAATCGGCCGGGTAGAACAGGAGATATAGAACAGTCCCCCCCTTTTTTTTGGTTAAATCATTTCTTATGGGGTTGATTATTTATATATGTAGAAATTTTGGTCTGTTTTTAAGCATTCTTTTATGGCATGACATTTTCTTTATAAGGCAGTATACTTGAATATCATAATTGTAAATCATACAATTTCTACATAGCATATAGAAAGATTATAAAATTTAGATTTTAAATACCTGTACAAGCAATTGTTTTTGAAGTTTTAGATCAGCTTCAGAAATTTGACCTCCTTTCAAGGCCTGCTCTTTTCTTAGTTTTCCTAACAGCAAAAGAGTATCCTAAAAAATAAATAAATAAAATAAAATTTTCATTAAAATTATAAAGTTCATAAATAATTTCTAAACATAAAACTTAACTTGAATACCTGAAGTGTATTTGTTAACTGTTGAACACGTTCAGTCTTCAACAAACGTCTGGTTAAGTAACCTTTAACAAATGCTGGAAGCTTCTCGAATTTCTTCAAAATGGCAGGTTCATTAACCTAAAATTGACAGTTAAAAAAAATAAATAAATTAAAGTTTAATTAAATAAATGTCGCTGAAAAAACATTTAATTTTGGAAGGGAAAAAATACTACTTAAAACTTACTAAAGGAAAGTCTTTCAATAACAGAATACCATTAAATACATTTATGAGAGGTGGAGAAAATAAAACTTAATTGTAAAAAATAGTTCAGTTAATTTTCCAACATTTACAGCACTGAAAAAAAAAAAAAAAAAAAAAAAAGGACTTAAAAGAAATTTACAGTAGTTGTTCCCTCCCTCGCCACATACAAATGTTACTCACCAGATTAATTTTTTCCTTTTTCTTTATTTTATTGCACAAAGGGGCATGACTTTCAAATCTTGCTTGACAGCATAAACTGGTATGCTCTCGAGATAACACATAAGTTTTATTTGGACTTTTGGATTCTTTACATGGTTCTGTAATTCCATTAGATAAATGCTGTACTTCTTTCATGTCATCTGAACTCTCAAAACTATTAAAATATAAACTTTGATCTTTCACAGGCTTGTGATTCAAATTTTCAGATGTACAAAAATTATGAACATTATGAGAAAATTTCTCACCATATAAAAGTTCAGGAGGTCTAGAGTAAGGGCTTACTTTACTGAAAGCATATATATTCTGATCTAGAATTTTAGGACTTTTATTGCTATTTGATGTAGTATCTAGATCACTAGAACAAGATGCATAGAACATTCTAGAGTTAGTATCATTAAAAATATTATTTCTAACATGATCATTGTGCATTTGTGATCGTATGTGTATATCTATTGCATCTACAACATTTTTCTCACTTGTATTAGGACTCTTCGGACTAGAAGTATTTCCAGGCTGAATATGTGAAACTGAAATCATGCTATCATTTCTTAACTCTTTTCCATGAATTGGCAAAAAATTATAATTACCTTCACTTAGCATATCTCCATTCATTGTATTTTCATACCTAGTATGATCTTTGATAGCATTTATATCAGTTGCATTATCACAATTAAGAGATTCTGAATTGTGTTCAGAATTTACTCCATTTACCACAGAAGGCAAGGCTCTAATTTTGTTTCTCGTATCTAAAAATGCATCAGGTACATGTTCCAAATGTTCAAAAGAGCTTTTACTGTGCTCACCAAAGTCCCTGTTATGTTCAAGATAACTGCCAGGTGAGAGGACACCTGAATTCTGACTAGAGGAAACATCTTGTGCAACTAGTTCTTCGCATATGTTATTACCATCATCAAAAGAACCAATATCAGATAATGCACTAAAACCTTCAGCTGAAATGGAAAAAAAAAAGTTATTAAAATGCATCAACTAGGATAATAGTTAAATGTTATATGTACACATTTTAAATAAAACATTATAACATTTTTACATTAATTACACAACAGGAAATAATTTTACAAATAGGGCTGCGCCTAACATAGTGAATGCAATCTGTTCCAGAACAACATTTATACTGTGAAATGTCTATTATGTGGGATACCATTTCCTAGAATTTAACATGGGAACAATTATAATCCGTTCCCAAGCACAGTCCAAAATCACATAACATTGTAAACAATTTTAGAGAAAATTAGAAACCTAATTCACATTGAAAATGTTAAGAATTAATTAATTTATTAGTTATATAAATATTTACATCCATTATGTATGTCCATACTTGCATAACTGTTTGGTACTGTTCTGTTATCGGGACCGGATTCAGATATTGCCAAAAGCTTGCACTTTGGCGAAAAATTCAAGGCATAAAAATAATCGGAAAAACATTTACAATACCATTAAGATAAAAAATATTCAAGAGGAAAAATAGCAAACATTTGACAAATTACAAAATTTTTAATGCAAATTAAAAAACTTGCCAAAGAAATCATACACACACACACAAAAAAAAAGTTTGGGAATTAGCATTGACATGGAGGCATAAAACTGCGAATATCATTTAAAATGTCTGAAAAATATGCATTTTAGGGCACTTTTGCCGCCATATAAACTCAATTAAATATGAATCTAATTGAGATAAAATAATATGCCAAATAAGTATTAATTTAGAAGTCAAAAACGGTCAGTGCCGCATTGGCACTTCTTTCGCCGCTTCGCTCTGTGCCATAACATTTTAATAGTTTGTGTGTGACAACCAGTACCAGGATCGATAAAATTATATAGTATATGGTTAATGCAGAAATGTTCAAAATTGACCTCTTTCAGCTCTTCAGTGTTACACCTTTCCAACAGTTTGAGTATACTGTAGTACCATCAATAATCTTTTCTACAATAACTTTAAGCAAAGTTCTGGCATAGTGGTTAGGCACAGCAACTAGAAACATTCTTTTGTTTCTTGGAAAATCCCGCTACACACCCACTAGAATAGAAGAATATGACCAACACTGTTTTTTCGGTGCGAAAACAGGCTTTTGGCCAACTTTGACAATATTACCAGTGCCACCTATTTTAACCCCTTATATTTAACCCCTTCCCTTACATAACTATTCCAATCAACAACAATGCAATGATTCATATCAAGTTAATTTTGAGAACATAATTCTATTTTTTCCCTTGGTAAAAAATATCTTTACATCTCCATTTCGGTGTTTCCTCTGAAGTACAGCTTCATTGTATGGCTTTTCAGGCACTTTTTTTTTTTTTTTTGAATGAATTATTCCTTATTCCTGAGGAAATTTTATGGCAGATGTTTCAACATTAAGCAAGTCCCAAATTTTTATATTACTTAAAAAAAAAAAGCAAAAACAGTCTAGTTTTATAATGATTTAAAACTAAATTTTCGCGACTTCATACGAATGAGTTTATCAGAACATTTGGTGACAATTCCGGTCCCAATAACAGAATAAACTTGATATGAATATTCCTAGTCAATTACAATATGAAAGTCTCAGCAATCCTTGACCTTATTGCATTATCTGTTTAGTTTTCTGAAAGGTCTATGTTTCCAAAAATTAGCTTAAGTTGTTAAAATTCATAAAAATTTATAAAAATCTCTCAGTTCTAGTTAATGCTTCCAATTCCAATCTGTATTAACCCTCAGCTTTAAAGGAAATTATTTCATAGTTGTTTTCATTTTTCATCAACAGATGGTACCAGTAGTTTGACTTATTTCCTTTCATTTTTATCCTTTGCGCTTCAACAGCTGAAGGACGAGATTATATATTGTAATTCGACGAGATTATATATTGTATATTGATTTCATATTGTAATTGACTAGGACTAATCACCTTCAAAACTAATCCCACAAATTTACAAATATTATGTTGATTCTTGCGGCATTTAGCAATAAAAATAATTCACATCTTTGATTAGAATATTTAAAAAATATAATGTATTTTTACCAAAAAGTTTATTTCCATATTTATATAAAAAAAAACTTATTTCATGCACATCTTATGTGTCAACACAACTCCTTAGCAGAAGTTGCCAAACTCTGGCAACCACACATGTAACTACATAGTTTGACATTTAATGTACTACACCATTGACTGTGACAGTGTCACAAGCTGCACAATTTAGTGCCAACTATGGATAACATAAAAACACTCTCACAACATCTACACTTTCATTTCATGCAACATTGATTGATTCTTAATAAGCCACCTGTTGTTTTTATGAGCAAAAGTAACTGTTATTGCAGTATTTTTTCTTCCACTTTGGAAAAAAAAATATATTATGTGGCTGCATTTTAGTTTGTTTATAGCTGGCCCAGAGCCAGAGAATCAATGTGGAAAGAAACCTTTTCAGTACAAAAACAGAGCAGATCGAATCCTTCCTCAGTAGTTGGTATTTGATGGATTATGCAGAGAGACTGACAAATGTTTTACTGTAAGAGATGCACATAGAAGTGCAGTTTAGAATTCCACAGGAATGACTCATGCAACTTTGACAGGATCATTGCCAACCTTCACAGTTCGATGGTAACTAACTTTCATGATCAGAGGGTAATACATAAATACCATTAATTTCAACAAGCAAAGTTGCCATTTTTTAAAGTACTTTTTACATTGTTTACAGGCTCAAAAGACTAACAAAAATATTTTTTACCTTAAACTCAATTTTAAAATATATGCTGGTGGGATTTGCCAGCAACAGAAGAAAGTGTGGTAAATTTCTACAGGAATACAATATTTTTCCACAATCACAAATGGCCAAATTCTCATATGATGACATAGTATTTCAGGGAAAAAATCTTCTTGGGAATGCAGCATGAAATGTTGAAATGAACACATCGGTATTTGGACTGGATTTGGTCTAATAACACTCAACTGTCTTTTGCTACAGCAACCAAATTTATGTAGTGCTGGAGAAAAGAATTAATTAGTATTAAATTCTTCTATGAAGAGTTCTGATAAATCACTGATAAGACTACGAGAGACCAGAATAATTATATACTAATAATCTGCATGTCAATAAAGAGAAAAATGACTGCTAAAAAAATTTAATTGTTGAAATAGATACAAATTGAAAATAAAATTCTGGATTTGTTCTGCTGCTGTAATGGATTTGGGGAGAAATTTGCCAGGAAACAAATAAAAAAAAATTTCTGGTTATAATTTCTAACAGACGTGTGGCGATATTGTAACGTTGTCAGCTATTTTCCCACGGGCTCCCACGAAGTCTGGGAAAAGGAGATTTCAAATGGGCGCCAGATGACCACCCTGATGACACTTACGAATTCTTGAGGTCGAACGTGACCCCCAACAAAGTGCGGAAAGCATATTGTTTTTACGAAAGGAGAAAACTTTCATACAAGTTCTCACGGGTTGTGGAGTGTCCATTGTGTGTATGCGACAGACTGTCGCCAACTGCCTGTTTCTCGAAATAATTTAGATAGACCTCCCAAAAAGACGTCTGAATTTTCCCACGGAAAATTTCAGTTTCTCAGGTTGTCAAGACAGTATCTGAGAACAATCAGCGCCTGTTGACCAATGGAGAGATGCTCCGAAAAAGACGTTTAGCGAATCACTGCAGCAGACGCACAAGACACGCCAAGAAAACCTGGACATAAAAACAGTGAGTGGAAAATAATTAGAGAGTTTTTTTTAGTCTGAAGGATACGCAGTCGTTGCGTAGAGAAGAGAGAGCCTTTCTCTTGTATTTTACGGCGTCCCGAGTCGCAGTAAGCTTTAGAGAGCCCCCTTTCTCTTGTGTATTTTACGGCTTGTCCAGAGTCGCTAGTAAGCTTTAGAGAGCCCTTTCTCTCTTGTGTTTTTTTATGGCTTGTCCCGAGTCGCTACTAAGCTCTGTCAAGAGCGGGGGGAAAAAACCTCTCAAAGGAAGCGTAGCCGGACTTTTTCTCCGCTACCTTTTTCGACTTTGTTTGAACTCAAGTGATTATCGTTTCCTTTGGAAAAGGACTACTTTGCTAAGCAAACTACTTTGTTATGATAAGCAGTTGAACTTACCTTAAAATTCAATTTGTGAAATTTAACACTTACCTTATTTTCAATCACACTACCAATAAAAATTGCTACAGCTAAAATCGCTACAATATTAATGCAGAAAATTAATGAAAAGTTAAGCAAGGAAGTATCATCTGTTTTAATTGCTGCTCATAATATTAAAAATGAACAATCAGAAGAAGCTGGATTTACATTTAAAACAATCAGTCATACATGCAACTAGCATGGATACACATCATGAAGAAAAAACATGACGATCCACATAATGGCATAATATGAAGCACAAGAAGAGCCCATGACTGCATATAATCATATTTAGAAGAATTTATATGCCACAAATACCAAGCCGCTTAAGGAAACAACTGCTTTGAATGTATTGTTAAAAGCGATCACTACAAAATTTCACCAAAACAAAAACAAAAAAAAAAAAAAAAAAACATGTTTGTAAGTAATTTTATTGATTACTTTTAAAGATAAATACAGTACAAAGTCCATAATCTGGACTCGTTGGGACTTCGGCGATTCCAGATTAGAGGTTCTTCCGAATTATAGATCATCAATTTAAATCTGGTAAGATGGCATGCAGAAATTATACAATTAAAAATATGAAACCGTAATTTATGAAATAAAGCACAATTATGATCTAAAGGGTATCAAAATTTACAAAAAAAAAAAAAGCTTAATATTTATTTGTTCACTTTATTGAACATTTCTTTCAACGCATGCATTACACATAGTCGAAATTAGAAAATTGCAACTAGAAACTATTTGATGTGTATTTGTGATATTTATAATGACGAGGAAATTGATTTAAATCATATCAAAGAGAGTACATTGAGATGAAATACTACATTTAGTAAGGAATTATAAGCTGAATAAAATAAAAACATCTGCCCTGAAGATGAGGATCGCCCCCCTTCCCCCCTTCCCGGCAGAGCAGCATGAAATTGATAAACAAATTTCGGAATGGTTACAGAAACAATTCATTAAGCCAAACTGTTCTGATTACACAAGTAATATCGTGCTAAGTAGAAAAAAATGCGGTTCATTTAGACTATGCCTGGACTTAAACGACACTTAAAACCTGGTGAATCCCTTTCCGAATATTTAATTACCATGCATGAAATAGCCAGTCGCGGTTCTGTTGATGATTCATCAATTCTTGATTATGTAATCAATGGGATACCGGATCAGAGTAGTAACAAAATTATTTTGTATGGGTGTAAAACTATTTCTGAATTCAAAGAGAAATTAAAAATTTATGAGAAAATCTGCATTCGAGATACGGAGAATAAGGGTTATTCAAGTACTAACACACAAAAATAAAGCATGTGCTATACCTAATAAGAGTACAGAACCAAGGTGTTATGACTGTGGAAGTATAGGGCAAGTAATGTATGCGCATTCTTTACACGCATGCGTAAAGCATACAAAAAAAAAAAAAAAAAAGTTTGTGGCTTTGAGGTCCGGATTATAGATCATTCCAGATAATGGACGTCTGGATTTCGGGCTTTGTACTGTATTGCATTAAAGCTAAAATATCTGAATAATAGCATGTATGTATGAAATAATAATAATTTTTAAGTTGTCATTCTTTTTCTTAGGAAAAAAAATATCCAGGTGTACCAAGGTGGCTGTACTAATATGTATGCAGATTTCAGGCATTTGCAGATAAGCAGTCACATAGTATTGGAATGCTACTGCAGCACATCTGTTGTATCGATGTACAGTGCAGTTTAAAATAAACACATAAAACTTAAATTCATGTAAAACAAGTGTCTGCCCTGCTTTGACCTACTTTGAGTAAAATTTTAACCCAAATGCAACAGTTACTGTATTTCCTCGTATACTTTTCCCCTAGCATTTTAGTAAAAGGCTCTGAAAATTTGTTAAGTACTCGTGTAATTTTCCCTTTCCTCATTCATTAGCAAGCTTCCCAACCTTTTAAAATGGATTTGTCCATGTAGTGGTAATTTTTGTCTTTCTAACTGCTTTGCCCATGGATTTTGGATGCATAGCCTCTAACTAATGAAGAAATAATAGTGAAGTGCTTCAAGAGAATGGGGATATCTAATATTCTTGACAACTGCGAAGGTCGTTACACTAGGGAAGACAAACTGAATAGAAATGAGGAAGATAACAGTGATGATAGCAACAGCTTGCAAGATGTAGCAGCATTAAATGATTTTAGGTCTAGGGAGTAGCAATGGACAACAATAACAGAGCAAGATTCAAGTAGAGTTGAAAATATCTAATTAAATATTGTAGTGTTAATATTATGTGTTTTTATTGCAATGTAGGTTTCTTTTAAATAATTAACATTGCAGTAACTATGGGTAGTGTATCCATGAACACTTTTCATTTGCAATGTTCTGTCACTGCAATCATGTCTTTTAAAATTAAATTATTCCGTTAATTTTCTCCTTTTGGTTTTTGTATGGTAAAAATGGGGGAAGGAAATATAAGTACATGCAATATTCTATAATAAAGAAACTAAAGCATACCAACAGTATCTGAAATTTCGAGATTATTAAGTTTTTCAGTCAGCATCTTTTCTTGCAGTTTAAATTCTTCTTGGAGCTTTAGCCATTGTCTCTTTTGCTCTTCTAGTAACTCCTTTACCCTCATTTTGTGGCTTTCTTGCAGTTCCTGATATATTTTTACTAAAATTTCTTTGCTTGCATTACTTTTTAAATCAGGTGAATTAGGAGGTTGCCTGTAACATATTTTTTTAAATTTAGTTTACTTCATATTAAAAATTAAGTACACTTTAAGTATATGGAAATAACTATTACAAATTAAGGCATAATCAAAAGAAATATGGAATATCCTTAATAAAAAATTTATTGCTTGGTTTTTTTTAATTCAAATTTTAAATGAATTTCAAGTAATAGTTCAGTTTTTAATTTTATTTGCATTTAACTAGTCAGAAATCAAGAACATAATGCATTAAATATTGTTAATTTAGCAAACAAAAAACTGTGAAATGGCAATCATTTCTAAAAATGATACTGATGGTGGATCACAACCAAAGTTTAATGTACAGTCATATCTTCCAAGAGGAAAAAAGCATAAATATATTAGTTTAAGGGAAGGGATTATTTATAAATAGACAAAATTTCAGTTTATATACAATACATGATTCCAAAATCAAAAGCAAAATAATAATGTATTTTACTTAATTACATAAAAAGCATTTTGAGTGTATAAAATATATCTTTTTTAATTAGAAAACTGACTTCGATATGATCTGAAGGTATATGAAACATAACATGCCATTTCAAAGATGGATTAAGAAGTCTTAATAATGAACCTTGAAAATTTCAGGACATATATTACTGACTTTATGTGTAAAATATTATTGTCATATTGAGAAAACACGATTATCTTTTTGGCTGTAAAAGAACTTAAGTTTGAATTGCAAATAGTATTTCCAATGGTAATAGAAGTTCCTTATTAAAATGGACTTTGAATGTTGGAATAGAAAGTGATAATGCTTTTATTATGGTAGGTGTTCTTATCAAATTTATAAAATTAAATATACACTCACGTTTGTGAAAATTGCAACACCATGAAGGACTTACGCGAGTGAGCTGAAATTTTCAGGAAATGCAAAGTAGCGCATGATATGCAAATGATTAGAATTGCAAATCCGTAGCGCATGCGTATGCTGAGCAGCGCCCTCTGAACGGCTGATGGATCCGAATAAATAGACGGCTGTAGCGAGGCGTGTATGGTTATCGGTGGTTATCTGCTAGTGGTAAACGTTAACTCAATCTGTACTTATGCCTCGTCGACGAAAGAGAGCGCGAGATTTGAACAACTTACAGAGTTTGAACGAGGGAGAATCATCGGCCTTCGTGAAGCTGGATTGTCGTATCGCGCAGTAGCCTCTCGTGTGCAGCGTAACAGCAGCACAGTGATGCGCGTTTGGAAGCAGTGGACGGACGAGTGTCGGACAACTCGGAAATCCGGGAGTGGACCCCGAAATGTGACGTCAGCTCGCGATGATAGACACCTGGTCCGCATGGCGCGGACGGACCGTACAGTTTCCTCTAGACAATTGGCAGCACTGTGGTCAATAGCTACAGGTGTTTCATTGTGTGCTTCATCAATTCGTAGACGTCTGCTGCAGTGTGGACTGCGCGCACGGACTCCTTTATACAGGATCCCCCTAACGCACGACCATCGCCGCCTGCGGCTACAATGGGCCAATCAGCATAGAGACTGGCGTGCTGATTGGCAGCATCTCGTGTTTTCTGATGAATCCGGCTTTAATTTGTGGTACCATGATGGCCGCATTCGTGTCAGACGCTATGCCGGTGAATGCCACCTTCCGGAGTGCATTATCGAACGCCACAGTGGACGAACACCCGGAGTTATGGTCTGGGGCGCCATAGCATATCATAGACGATCTCAATTGCTACGAATTGTGGGCAATCTGAACAGCAACCGGTATATCCGTGAAGTTCTACAGCCCGAAGCTGTTCCCTTCCTTCAAAGCTTGCCAGGCGCTGTATTTCAACAGGACAATGCCCGCCCTCATACTGCTCGGATTGTCAAATCCTTCTTTGCAGCACAGCAGGTACAGCTTCTTCCTTGGCCTGCGTGTTCCCCGGATATGTCGCCAATTGAACATGTGTGGGATGTCATTGGTCGGCGTCTTGCTCGTGATCCTCGTCCTGTTGCGTCTGCAGACGAACTTTGGGTACGCGTACAAACGATATGGAATGCTCTTCCTCAGTCAGACATTCAAACTTTGTTTGACTCCATGCCACGTCGTGTAGCAGCACTTATTGCGGCGCGTGGTGGCCACACAAAATACTGATTCTGATCTCTTGTTCTTGTTTGTTTGCTTTGAACATTTAATCATTTATTTGTACCACTACCACTCAACTGTGTATTAAATTGCATTCAATTATAACGATTCCTTCTTGGTGTTGCAATTTTCCCAAACGTGAGTGTATATATATACATATCATCTTCGGCTAATAAAATAAGTCTTTCATTTTATACAATTATTCACATCACATCCTACATGAGTACAATTACTATGATATTCAGGTATCAAGAGTAGAGGCTAATGGGAATTCGAAAAACTTTGCGAGCTACTGATGTGCATTAGGTCCACTTTGTCACTAAAAATGCCAGCACCTATACTCAGTTCGGCGACTGTTCACCAAGACAGAACCCATTACAAAGATACTCTGGCATAAAGGTGACAGCACCTGAATGAAAGATGCTTCCTCCAGAATATAAATTTGAACTTCCAAATGCTGTCTGCATCTTTATGTCTGCACCTAGATGACCAATAAAAATACTCTGATACAAAGGTTATAAAAGTTGGTTTCCTCAAGTCATAAAGTGAATTTAATAACGGTACCTGCTTCATAAGAGTGCATGCACCTTTATACCAGGGTACCCTGGTCAAACAGAGCCCCACTTATACAAAGGTATGGCACTTTGATGAAGTTGCTTTTTTCAAATTCTAAAGAACAGAGTGCAGGCACCTCTATGCCCATCTGTGATTACACACTAAAATATTAACCAAGCCCAACCATGGATGTCCTAGAAGATGGTTATATTTTTTGCTATGTTTATTGAACTTCATAAAGGTGCTAATACCACTTATGCTTTGACAAACAACGGTTAACTTGCAAAAAGTGCCAGCACTTTTACTCAAGTCAGCAAATATTCACACTGATCTTCAAAGGAACCTGGAATTTTGATAAAGGTTGCATTCTTCATTCACCCGCCGCTTATTAAATTCACTGGTTAATAAACTCAGACGCTTAATACATTCAAATTTTCAATAAATAAACAAATATATACTAATCAACAGAAAAACCAAAGATCATTAACTCGTCTCAGCACCTTGTACAGCACAAACTGGCGAAAGACTCTTCAGATCAAGAACAACCTGTTTGGGTTAAAAGCAGTTTGTTAATCAGTCATTTATATTTTAATTACATAATGCTTTAATATAACAGGTTTAGCAGAAACTTTGTCTGGTATAGTTAGAACTAAGACCCTCTAGGGGTGTTGAGCACTCTTTCCTCCCTGTCATACACTGTTTGAAAATCTCTTTGTTCAGACTGAAGCTGAAAGTGAAAGAATAATTTACCTCATGATTAACAAAAGCAGTCCTCTAGAGGTACTGGAAACAAGTTCTTTGATTGTGAATGTTTTCCAGGATTAAAGAAAAGGCACTCACCAGCACTGGTTCCCTTTTCGAACACCAACTGATAATGTACACACATTAAGTTTGCAGGATGTTCTCATAAAACATCATGAAATGCTTCCTTGCATTATTGCACATTATCAATCATGGATTGGAAAAGGGAAGTGGCTGTTGTAGACTGAAGGAAAAAAAAAGCATTGATTATGCTTGTAACAGTCCTGAAGTGATATGTTGACTTGATAACGTGCAACCTTCCTGATGGCTACAAACAAGAATTTTGGATTTGAACAAATCATTTTAGACAAGAGGCATTTTTTATTTGCTATGTGCATGATTTTTAACATGTCGAAAATGCCTAAGGGAAATGATCTAAGCCTGAAAGAAAAGGATAAATTGCTGAAAGATTATGTTACAATTGATATAGGTAGCCAAAGAGAAACAGCATTTAAAATGGGAATTTTTTAAATAGCATTCTATATTTTACTTAAAGAACAAATAAAATTCATAAAAATAAGTAAAAAATGCAAATATTTAAAGGGATGGAAAATAGATAGATGTTGAAACCACTCTTCTAGAATGGTTTCAAGCTATAAACTAAAATATGTTCCAATTTCTACAGCTCTTTTAACCACAAAAGTTATAGAATTCACTAAAATGCCAGGTGAAAATTTTCTGCCAACTGATAGATGGCTCAAAAGTTGAAACAGGGAAATAATATCATTTATTGGAAACTACATGATGAGAAGCAAGGAACAGACCATCAATCGGCTCAGAACTGGATGAAAGATATTTTACCCAAACTTCTAAAAGAGCACAAGCCACATAAAATCTGTAATACAGATGAACCTGGTCTGTTTTACAGAGTATTATTGGAGCCCACATTAATATTAAAAAATGAAAACATTTTTCGAAATTAAAAGAATGAGTTAATGTGCTATTAATGTGCAGTATGGATGCAACAATTAAAAAGACACTACTGGTTATTAGAAAAAGTAGCAAACCTCAGTGTTTAAAAGGAGTCAAGAATTTAACTTACTGCAAAACAAGAACACGTGGATAGCAAACAATATTTTTACTGATTTCCTTTTAAAATGGGATGGACAACAGAAAAATGAAAAAATAGCTTTACTATTATATAACCATGCTGCAAACCCCTAAAATATCCTGAAAAACATTAAATTCCTTCTTCCTGCAAATACGACTTCTATCATTTAGGCTTAGATTACTATAAAAGCATTCAAATGTCAATACAGAAAAGGCGTCGTTCAAAAAATGATAACCAAGACTGAACTTTGAAGGAGATAACTAAGTATCTTCGCTAGAGGCTATGCATAGGAAGCAGTCTCCTATGCATAGGAAGCAGTCTCCTAAAACACAGAGAGAAACTACTTGCTAGCCCCAGCTGAACCACGAAAAGTACTGCAAATTATGAGAACTTCTGAACTGAAATGTGGAGATCAGAAAAGCTACCAATAGTATTATGAACTTGAAAATACAATTGAAAGACTCTTGATGAAAAATACCAACACAAATACGGATACAGCAGTTCTTTGTAAAAGTTTAAAATTTTATCAAGTTTCTAACTACAAATATTAAAAAAAAAAAAAAAAAAAAAAAAAAAAATCCAAACAGCTTAATTTTAGCATTCATTAATTAATAATTTAGGTTTTAATTATTAAATTAATTGTTAGTTACAATCTTACTAAATTAGTTCAAAGTTTATAATGTAATTTGAAATAATACTGAAATCATCATTTATTAAACTCAGCAACTTAATATTAAATACATTTGGAATGGAAGTGATTTTATAATGCTGGCACATGTTTGCAAATTCGCCACGCTGGTCAGATCACCCCCATCAGACTTTGTCAAGTATAATAGGCTATAACTGGTTTTAGATATTCAGGCCATTATCTAACACTGATTTGCAGGTTTTACAGCACATTAGACCAAATATCTGCAATTAAATATTACGATAAATAATAAAAATGAGCTACTAAACATTATGCAAATGAGTCAGAATGATGGTTGTCAATCAAAATAGTTATAACTCAAACTTGGTTCCAACTGGATGTGCTTAGAATTCATTTGATGTGGGTCACTCCAGCGATAAAATTTCTACTGCAGACTAGAAGTTTAATATATTATACTGAAATACACTGGTTATTTCTTTTATTCTTATAACTGATTCCGCATGAAGTGCGTATTGTGAATAAATTTATTACTGCTAAAATATTTTTGAGGTAAACTTCTTATTCCTGGTAGAAAATTTAATATCTTTGTTGCAGTATTAAATAATCTCTATTTAGGTATCAGGTTGAAGGATGATTTTTCAAACCAAAAATATTTCAGAAGAAACTATGCAAAATTTAAGAAAGAAATGTACAGTACAAATTCTGTAATCCGGACTCATCGGGACTTCGGCGATTCCGGATTAGGGGTTTTTCCGGATTATAGATCATCAATTTAAATCTGGTAAGATGGCATGCAGAAATTATACAATTAAAAATATGAAACTGTAATTTATGAAATAAAGAGCAATTATGATCTAAAGGGTATCAAAATTTACAAAAAGAAAAGCTTAATATCTATTTGTTTACTTTATTAAACATTTCTTTCAATGTAAGTTGTTTAAGTTGCTTTGTTTTCTGTGCTAATACTTTCTCTTTAATTCTATAAAGAGACATAATTTTTTGTTCAGTTACAAAGTTCCACTGTTCAAATCCTGTAATTGCTGTGTCGAGAACACTGACTAACTTGTCAATCGAAATTTTTTCGTTTTCAATAACCTCTCTGTCACTTTCTTCACTATCGGAAGTGGTATTTTCCGGATCTAGAACCGTACTACAGATTCGCCGTCCGTTAATTTATTGATGATTGGGGCATTGTCGTTGCAATGAAAAACTTCTGTTATATCATCTTCATTTATTACCGCTTAAGAAACAGCGCAATCTGCAACATTAACTGAAATACCTTAGAATCAGTAAAGATAATTTTAGCCTAGCTTATACCGTCCGTTATACATTAAATGCACATGCGTAAAGCATACAAAAAAAAAAAGTTTGTGGCTTTGAAATCCGGATTATAGATCATTCTGGATAATGGATGTCCGGATTACGGACTTTGTACTGTATAATGGATGTCCGGATTACGGACTTTGTACTGTATTTCTTTCCTAAAAGAAATTACTGAGTAATCTAGAAGACCTCCTTACACAAAATATGGAAGCGCTGCAGCAAATTTCTATACTTTCAGCTAAGTTTCGTGATTACTATTTCTCAATCTGTGGTCCTTGAAGCCTGCCCTTGTGCCCAGATTTCCAAAATATCAAAAATAAAATTTGAATTAACTGCATGAAAATCTCAGAGTTCAGAAATTACATATGGCAATCATCTGTCACTCTGTCCTAAGACTGACATTTTATGAAATTAATTACCAGTTACCTTACCTACAGATCTTCCACTCTAGTCTCTAGAAACAAAAGAGGGTTTTAAAGCACTATGATTATGGCAGCTCTTATTATACATCCAATCATGGAACAACTATGGAAGAATCGATCTATATCACAGATATGAATACAAAAATTGATTTAATTTTTAGTTAATAAAATAAAGATTATCCAAACTCTAATAGCCTGAACTATTAAAAAGAAATATATATATTTTTTCCATTAACTTAATAACGATATACAAGTAAATAAATTTCAATTAATTATGTTTTAAAAATATAAGTGCAGATAAACACTTTAGAACTTTGAAAAATAATGACTAGTATTAGCATTACATCTATAAAATTTTAACATTTAAAAAAAATGGAAAGCAACACATACTTTTCAACTTTTTGCAAATCAACTGCCTGTAAATCATTTTCTGCATCGACTGGCTGTGAATCATGATTATTTTCTATGTTCACATTTGTCATTTCACAAACTTTTTCTGGTTGACTATCTTGAAATGTAAAAGTATCACCTTGAAAGTCTTCTTCATTATCTAAGAATGGGCTGGATTCATCAACTGGACTGAGAAATATCTTAGCACTTTCTTCTAAATTTGAAAATACCACATTAGAGCATGAAACTGTAGTCTCAACAACATTATTTCCTGCAGAGATAGTTTCAGTGCTCGGAATAGGGAAGACTTTACTGTTTGCTGGCAAAGAAAGAGATTTGGTAACTTTCTCTTTTTTAAAAGCAGTATTTGGCTCAAGTTCTTTTTGATTCACAGAAGCACTATGAGGATATTCACATTTATTGGAATCAAGATTACACTCACAACCAGCATGGGCTATAATTAAAGCAGTAGATGGATATTCTAAAGTATAGGAATTTCTTCTTATATGCTTATTTGGATCTTCATTATTTAACAATATTGAATTTGATATGTCAGGGTTAGTGTTCTCTGATTTTGCAATGGCCCCTTCTTCAGCATTTGAAACTCCTTGAAGAATGTTGGGGTCTGTGGGCTGGATTTGCAAAGCACTGGTTTCATCACTGACTTTGTTAGCAGATGTAATAGCAGAGTGTGATGGCTCACTATGAGATTTTCTAACATTACAATTTTCTCCAACTGATGGTAAAAGTTTCATAAAACTGTCAACGGAATGTGCTCGTTGACGAACATTTGAACAACTCAATTCATCAAAAATACTTGTTTTAACCTCAGCAGGACTGTTTAATGGATTATCTACATAGTAGCTGAGATCAGTCATTGCTGATGCACATGGTGTAAGCTCACTTTCGGTATTTACCATTGTTTCTGAACTAGCATCATCGGATTTTGAGGCTACATTATGGTAACTAGATGCTTTGGATTCCCACACAGCACTTGAGCAATCAGAGCTTGAAAGATCAACAGAAGCGTCCATATATTTATCTAGATCAGTGCTCTGAGTTATATATGTGTTATTGCTTTCACAATCAGTATCATTAGCAGCACATGTTTTGTTACAAATAACAGTGGGCAACGAACAGCATTCAGTCTCTGTAACAGATTGCTGTTCATCATCTGATAAACCGGACTTTTGTTCTGAGAAAAAATTCCCATAAGGCACTTCTGAATTATTTTCAGAAATATGACTATCATCAAAAACTGGACAATATTCTGCTTGACATAAATGGCATTCTAAACTGGAACTGTGCTGAAAGCCATTTCCACACAAAAATCTGTTTCTTGTTAAAGCATTTGAAACACCATAAGCTGTTTTGCTAGAGCATCTGTTGCTAGGCATTACATCAGGGCACACTATGACATCCTTATGAACTGTACTACAAATATCATTAGGCATGACATTACTCATGACTACAAACATTCCACTCCCGCATGACACTCTGGAAGACGAGGAATATAAGACACCAGGCTGATGCACATCAATGTCATAACAGGACTGTAGCTCTTGCTGTTTATGGGGAAATGAAAGTTGTTCCTATAGGATATAAAACAAAACTGACATAGATCACATTTACCCATTATTATTTTATACACATACAAATTAGCAGTTATATATGTGACATTAAAATAAACCATTAATACAGAATTCTACAGAATAGTAAATCAATAAATCAAAACACTATATTCCCCCTTCCCAAGCTACATAAGTTTAAATGGAGACATTTTGAGATATTTTGCTCACAGTTGCAAACTTTGAAATATGAAAAAATAGGAATTTCTGGAAAATTTTCACACTGCATACTGACAGCATTACAAAAGAACTTCAGATTCACATTATAATGCAAGATTCATGCTACTGAAAGATTAATAATATGATTATGATGTAAAATGTACTATTATTAGCTATTCTAAATTTCATATTTCTTGACTAATTTCTTTTTGTAATTTTCTTGCATGTTTATCCAGAGAAAATCCTCAGGAGGGAAGAAAAGTTTTTAGTTATTGATGGAATTTTATATATTATGAAAATAAAGTTAATAATTAATGTACATACTATTGTGTGGATAAACTTACTATTGTACTATATATTGATGTAAAGCAAAATTACTTCTTGAATCTTCATAAAATGGTCTACAGATACTTGGTTGGTTGCTGTTGTGTCCTTCGAAAAGTCAAATGGATCCATGAGTGGAAATCACTGCTTTTGTCAGCTCACTATACAGCTCTCTCTGGAAAGGAAATTTCCCCAAGTTTTCCAGATCTGCAAGTTCTGTTGGGCAGGTGATAGTGTTTCTGCAGAAAGCTCCGCTTCAGGGCACTTTCTACAATTTTTACATGATCTAGTACCATCTACATTAATTTTTATTCCTCTAAAATGACGGGTTCTTAATCTAGTAATGGTCTTTGTGATTTCTCTGTTTGCATCAATCTCACATATCTGTCTTTCTTAATAGATTTCTCTTTCAGTCTATATCTGGCAATGGCATTAGCATCTTCAAGAGTGACGGGCACTGAGTTGTTCAGATTTCTTTCCCTTTCAGCGACTTCATCATCTGCCTCATTCCCATCGATTCCAACATGTGCAGGTATCCATTGCATAATGCATGGCTTTCCCATCTGGTTGATTGTTTCTAGGTGTTGGTGAACATCCTGGGTGACTCTTGAATGTACTTGCAGTATTGCCTCTAGGGTAGCCTTAGAGTGACAGTGAATTACAAGTCTGCTGACTTTATCATTTAAGTCAATGTAAATTCTCAGGGCCTCCTGGATCGCTCTTAATTCAAATGTGAAGTTGGAAGCGATGTTGGCTCCTCCATGGCTTAGAAGTATAGTTGCTCCATTTGGTAGAGTGATGTGAATACTGGCTCTACCCTGTTGGACAGTCTCATCCAATGAACTATCTGTGTAAATTTTTACCAAATTAGCTTCCAAAAAGGACTTAACTATTTAAGTATCTTTTGTCTTGATAACAGCTTCAGTTTCCTTTTTGTAGAATGTTCCAACAGATCAAAATTTATTTTGGTGTTAATGGGGATGTAAGAAAGCAGGTTAGGCTCTTGACAATGTAGGTATCATGTTTGAGAGCAATATTTACAGGTCTACAGATGTTTAGTACATTAAGACATTCTCAATCAAATAAAATTTAATAAAAAAAATCATAACAAATAGCATTAGGGATAGAGAATAGAATTTGCACATTTTATATTTCATTAAATTTCATACATTGCCATAAAACATTTTACTTAGCCTAAAATTAAAAAAATGGGAGATTTAGGGATCTACTGGAAAACCAGAATGTGTATTGAAAAACTGAGAGAATTGGCAGCTGTATATAATGTATATTGCATTATACATTTTTACGTTTCAGATAATGCTTTTTCAAATGAATAGCAAAAATTTTTTGTTGTTGTTGTTGTTTTCAGCTACTAAATGAAGCAGAAAAATCAAACCATGGATCTTTTAGTCTAACTGAATATACTACAGTCAAAAGTCTTTAATCCGGACTCGTCAGGACTTCGGCGATTCCGGATTATCGATTTTTCCGGATTATAGATCATCAGTCTAAATCTGGCAAGATGGCATGCAGAAATTATAAAATTAAAAATATGAAACCGTAATTTATAAAATAATGAGCAATTATGATCTAAAGGGTATCAAAATTTACAAAAAAAAGAAGCTTAATATTTATTTGTTTACTTTATTAAACATTTCTTTCAACACGCGCATGCGTACCTTACGCATAGCCGAAATTAGAAAATTGCAACCAGAAAACTATTTGATTTGTATTCGTGATATTTATAATGACGAGGAATTTGATTTAAATCATATCAAAGACGGAGTACATCGAGATTAAATACTACATTTAATAAGGAATTATAAGCCGAATAAAATAAAAACATCTGCCCTAAAGATAACGATAGTGGTGACAGATCAACTTCCAGTTCATTGCGAGCCGCGACGTCCCCCCCCCACGCAGAGCAGCATGAAATTGATAAACAGATTTTGGAACGGTTAGATAAACAAAGGATATACCTTTATCCATTTTTTGTAGCAATTCGTTTTTTGTTTGATGGACATCGAAGCATACTTTCGTTTTCTAGATCCTTTGGGAGCTCCAGCATCGGAAATTCTATTTGACATAATCGAAAGTTCAAGCTTACTTTTATAAAATTGCTCTTACAGTCTGCAAAAAATAATAAGCCGGATCCAATTCGAAGATTAAGGAACAACGCAATCATCAACATTAACTGAAATAGATAATTAGATAATTTTAGCTTATGCCGTCCGACGCGAAAACGTATTCTGCACTTGCGCACACATATGCGCAGTCGTAAATGTCTTGCGCGGACGCGTAAAACGCCTGTGAGCATGCGTCAACGCGGTGCGTGCATTCGCAGAAAGATTTTAGCTTTGAGGTCCGGATTATAGATCATTCCGGATTATGGGTGTCCGAATTAACGACTTTTGACTGTACTACTTATATCAAGAGAGCCAGTAATAACTAATGTTTATGTCATATATATTATTTTCCACTTGAAAATCAACTGATGAGAGGCACGAGACACAATCAACTAAACCCAGGTGGTAATGAATTATCATATACCACATTTAAATTTATTTGCCATTAGGTTTTTGAAATTGGGAAACAAAAGATCAAATACATTGGTGTGCAAAAATTAAGGACGAAGTCGAAAAATTAGCATATCAGCTGAACGAAGAGGCAGAGCGGACAGAAAGACCAATCAGGAGATTAAGTAAGGTGATGTACGGTAGCACATGTGCAGATATGCAGGTAAACGTAATGGGGGAGTGTCTGAGTACTATAAAGCATGTTGTCGTTGAAAGATCAGTATTTCTGGCAAAGAGATTGAACGCCGTATAGCAGTTAAAATCACACCGAGTTGCTGCCTCAGCGAGAAATGGCGAATAATCAATCTGTTAGACGACATCTGGATGCTTTTACCCGAGGTCGAATCATTGGGAAGTTGGAGGAAGGCTGCAGTGTGACAAGTGTGGCTGCAGAGTTAGGAATTGCTCACAGCATCATTTCACGACTTTGAAGACAATTTCAAACTACAGGAACAGCTATCCGGGGGTTTAGTAGTGGTCGTTCACGAGGAACCACACCTGCAGATGACTGGTATATTGCCTTACAGGCCAGAAGAAACAGGCGGCAGACAGCGGGAGAAATCGCTAGACACACGACACAGGCGACTGGATGACAGATATCGCGTTTTACCGTGGCCAGAAGACTGCACGGTGGTGGTCTGTTTGCACGACGCCCTGTACGGTGTGTACCTCTAATGCCTGCCCATCGGAGAAGGCGTTCTCTGTGGTCCCGGGAACACCGGAATTGGAGAGACAATGAATGGGGACGAGTACTCTTTACAGATGAGAGCAGATTCAGTCTGAGTAGCAATTTTCATCGCATACTCATCTGGAGAGAGCGGGGAAGCCGCAATCATCCCTCAAACATCATTGAAAGGGACAGGTATAGACGTGGCGGTGTTCTCGTTTGGGGAGGCATCATGCGTGGTAGTCATACAGACCTTCACATCTTCGACGCAGGTTCAGTCAACGGGATCCATTATTGTAACGAGATTCTTCTTCAATAAGTGCGTCTTTTTATAGGGGCTATGTGTCCGCAGTTCCTTTTCATGGACGACAATGCACCATGTCATCGCACAGTAGCTGCCGAACAGCTCTTAGAGAGGGAGGATATTGAACGTATGGATTGACCGGCACGATCTCCGGATCTCAATCCCATCGAGCATGTATGGGATTTTCTAGGCAGATGATTGGCAGCTCGTACCTTACCACCAGTAACGATTCCGGAGCTTCGATTGGCACTGCAAGACGAATGGGCAGCAATGCCTCAACAACTCATTGACATCCTCATTCTCAGCATGGGCAGACGCTGTGAAACCTGCCTAGCAGTCAGGGAAGATCATATCCCCTATTAAGGACCAGATGCTTCTTGCTGGACACCCATCACAGGGATGTTTCGGCCTTCAGTCGCATTGCGCTCCATGCTACTTTTTCAATAAAGCTTCTTTCTATCCCTCTGATTTCTCTTTTAGTAAGTGTTGCTTACACTACTCATGTCCTTTCGTATTGGGGATCTTACGGTATTAAATGTGTTTATTTGGAAAGCTTTTGTACAAAGTTATATTGAAAAAACCGTCTCGTCCTTAATTTTTGCACACCAGTGTATGTTGTCATTGAGATTCAAACTGCAATCTTATTATGGTGGTTGCAGGATGTGCTATTAATTACATCACAAGGGTTATGCACAGGAAATGTGATAATTCCTTATGCAGCAAAATGTAATATATCTGAGAGGTTAATAAATTAAATGAACACTTGATGTGAAGCAGAAATTTCCTGTTGGGACATAGAACATCAAAATCAAAATTTTTACTTTCAATGAAATCTCCATCATCGAGATAACATTTAATACTTTTGTAACTTCATTAAACTCATCAATTCATTTGTAACTTCATCAATGCAGTCCATCTTTGTTGCAACATTTCTACCATTTGCTAATAATAGCAATACCTTATGGATTTATGAGACATTTGTTTAACTAATACTACCTCTGTCATATTACACAGAAAACCGATTTTCCAAGTTTTCAGAAATCACAAAGAATTCTTAAGAATCTGTGCTGTTTAAGGGCACAAAAGGTGATGTGAAACTCTTGACAGAAACTGCATCCAAGGTAACCTCCAAAAGATGAATTATCTAAATCTTCAATAAACTTAAAATTTTGCTTAACAGACATTTATGAAAATATGAAAATAATACCGTAAAAGAAAAAATCTCAAAATTTCTATTTATTTTCTATCTGAAATCTAAAGTTTGATACTAACAATAGATATCTATTGGTTACACTCTGTAATTCAAACATATTGACAGTTATTTTCCAAGTGGGACAAAAACTTGAGAATAAATATTGATAACCTAATTTCTTTCTTTTATTTATTAAATTTTCTTTGGTACATAAATAAAAATGCATATGTTTTTATACAAATACTTATAAACTCCATTTCTTACTACAGTTTGACACTGAATGGTATTAGATTCTGAAAAAGTTTATAGCCACAGAAAGAATTAACTGGAAATTATTTTTATTATGAATTATAGATGCTTATCAGTCAACCGGGTCTTATCAACAGAATGTACACAAATGCATTCCCAAACAAAATAATAATTCTTAGTAAAAAAGCTTGTAATTGTGATTATTTATTTTTTGTTGACAAGTATGACTAAAAGTTAATGAAATCTGTTAATGTTTCTGAAATCTTTGAGAATAAAATTTATATAACATAGTAAATTTAATTAAATACATTCACAGATCTTCTGCTGCTTGTTCATTTGTTTTTAATGAAAATGAAACTATTATAAACTCAAACTTCAAATAACTAAAATCTTTGTAACACTGTATTTGTAGGCCACATAAATTTGCTTCATGGCCATCAGTTTGACGCCCTTGGATTATATCAAACGTGCACTACATTAAACAATTTCTCTGAAAGTGAATAAATCACTAAAAATGAAAATGTGAAATATTTCAATAAATTACAAAAAATTACACGATACATTCCAAGTGAAATTTAGATATTGTGTTCCCCCTTTCCATTCAGCAAGCCAAAATTTGGTTACCTGAATACTGTCATAAAATTCTAAACAACATTTTTTAATATTAGAATTATGCATGCATATTGTTTCCTTTATGTGGCTTTGAACTCTACTGCATGCTTTATAAATATTTTGTTATACATAAATAAATATGCACACATTTTTAAATGAATAAATACATTTCTAAATTTTAAATGATTCAGTTTTATAGTATGCAGAATAAATTATTTAAGGCAAAAAAGAATATATAACTATGGCTAAATTAAAACATAATAGATTATGACTTTTGAAAATATAGTCATACTTATTGAAAAAAATTGTATCAACTGAAATTATACCTCTATTAAATATTGCAACTTTCTCATGCACATAAATTTTAATAAACAAAAAGGAAAATTTTGTAAGGGATACAGTATGCGCCCTTACAATAACTGCAGTTAATTTAACTATTTTAATATAGACATTACTAGAAACTTACAAATCACACATTACAAAATTACATAAATCTTAATAAACAAAAAGGAAAATTTTGTAAGGGATACAGTATGCACCCTTACAATAACTGCAGTTAATTTAACTATTTTAATATAGACATTACTAGAAACTTACAAATAGGTTTTTTTCACAGAATTTTACCTAAGGAAATGCAAAGATTTTAGTAAACTGTTCATGATGCTAAATGTTAATGCAAAATTTTTTATGAACCATTCATGTCAAAAGTTCTGTCCAGACGGTATGGTGGTTAGGGGAGCCTGACTGTGATACTGAAGGGCCCGATTCGAATCCCAGAGAAGGCATGGGAATTGTCTGTCCCTTCATATGAGGTAATGGTGGCCACTTATTAGGTGCCTCCACAATAAAATGGCCCCCACTTCTGGCCTTAGGGATGGCTAATGCCGTTATAGGCAAGTGTCCGCCACTGGAAAAAAAAAAGTTAATGCATCAGCTTTTATTTATGAACTGTCGTTCACAGCATTTCTCAAAATTATTTGCCTGATGCTGTACCCTTAATCTTAAAACTTGAACAGCATCCCTCATTGAAACAGAATATGTCAATGTAAAATTTGAAAGAGAATGTGTGAACGACAATACATTCCTTACTGTGATCACTGATTCGGTTACTATGATCAAAATATTATAGAATAAACTTTTTTAAACTAAAGTCATCAAATAAAGTCAAAATAAATTATAAAATTTTTAATTGACACAGAAATGTTGCCAAGTAAGGGATTAAGTAGCCAAATAGTTGATTTTTTATTTCAGTCACTTATTTAAATTTGGAAAAAAAAGCAGTCTTAGTTTGACACAGATAGTGAATAACTCTATCGATTTTTAGGGTGGGTTAGACACAGATCCCTTTTTTTCAGAAGCAAAAAAAATTCTGCACAATTCCCTGAAAACATCTATGTGAAACTAAAATAGCTTTTTTAGCTTAATTTAAAATTTTACATTGACTTCAGTGAGCGATGCGCTCCAAGTGTTAAGATTAAGGGTACAGCATCAGGCAAATAATTTCCAGAAATATTCTGAACAATTCACAAATAAGCTTTTGCATTAACTTTTGATATGAATTGTGCATAAAAAATTTTGCATTAACTTTTACCATCATGATCAGTTTACTAAAAAATTTTTTTTATTTCCCTAATAAAATTCTGTGAAAATACCAATTTGTACGTTTCTAGTAATATCTATATTAAAATAGTTAAATTCCATTGCTATTTTGTAAGATATTTTTTCTCATCATTGTTATCAAAACAGCCATGGGTAAATCTGATCACAATTAAGCAGCATTGGAACTACTCTGATATGCGCCTTCAAGTCGCCAAATTTCTTGCCAAACATTTTTGGCGAGAAACTCCACGCTGCCATATTGCTATCTAAATTTTTTGTCTACATTTCGAACTTTAAGCCTAAAATGTCTCCAAAAACACGATTTTTGCAAATGCAAAAATCACGTTTTGAACACACAATTTAAGCTTAAAATCCGAAATAAAAACAAAGAATTTAGATAGCAAAACCGTAAAGTTTCTAACCAAAATTATTTGACAAGAGTCCATGTAACACAGCGATATGTTTTTAACTTAAAAAAAAAACATCTACGAATAGCACAATCTAGGCAACGAAAGAATCAACGAACTACGCACACCTCGCTTTAATAAATTAACATAACAACAATAAATTTCAAAGAATACCATGTACACAGCATCTTGTTTCAATTTAAAAAAACATCTACGAATTGCACAATTTAGGCAACAAACGAATCTACGAACTACGCACACCTAACTTTAATAAATTAACATAACAACAAATTTCAAAGAATACCATGTATACAGCATTCTGTTTCAACTTTAAAAAACATCTACGAATTGCACAATTTAGACGGTACGCACTAATCAACAAAAAAAAAAAATACTAAAATAAATTTCAAACAATTAAAAAAAAACAACAATAATGACATAAATTCATACTAAAAAACAATGAACATAACATTCTACAAAATAAGAACAAGAATAAAATAAAATGCACTTACCATAAGTTAATGCTTTTTAAAACATCAGAAATACCAATTTCATACCACCTTTAACATGCCGCCACGTAATCACTATCGTATTTATATGTCAGCCATACACACTACCCAGAAAATTCATACTATGGTTCACAAATAAATAAAATAACAAATAATCACAAATCCCTACTTCTATCATGCAAAGCCACTAAAAATAATCTCCCAGACCCTCTTTCCACACCTCCAAATACCCATGCCCCTCAACATGATGGCCATGACGATATTTCCTTTTGCTGAACTTCAATTCAACAACTTTCACCATTTTATCTTCCCCCCCCCTAGCTTCTCAGACACAGAGCATGATGCAAACCAACTAACTCCAGCGAAAGATTTTTCAACGTCAACAGGGTTGCCATACAACACGCAATCGTGCCAAAATCCAGCGCAGAACACACATCGCCACATTTGGTGAAATCAGGGCGTATATCAGAGTTGTACCGCAGCATTTACTAAACACATATATTTAATGATTTTCAGTTATTACTCTCGAAAGTCTTCCTCACTTTTTCTGACAGATTAAGTTGCTCTTTTCTTCTCTTCATTATATCCACTTCTTTATTAACAGCAGCTATACGGAGACGAGAAATTTCAAATCTTTGAGTGGGAGTAACCTATTAAAACACAAGTATTTCATTACATTAATAAAAATTCTAGATACTCAAAATTTAAGGTAAAAAGATAAGCTTATCATTTTATCATCATCATTATTATTATTTTCCCCTCAGTTTTATAGGTATCAAAGCAACAGAAGATTTTTGGCTTCCCACTTCCCTTGCATATGGTTACTGCAATAATATCAAAAAATTCAAAAGAAACTTGAGTTTAAAAAAAAAAAAAAAATCTGCCTGCAAATTTTATCAGATTTATTATATCTTTCTTTCAAATGAAATAATTTTTATGCTATTTGCAAGCATCATCAAGATTGCATGCCTGCCACCCTTTTTGGCATCCGTGAAAGAGAATGCAAATACATTCTGAGATCCAACGACAGCATGTTCATTGTGTGTGTTTTTAATTGCAAACACACACATACATTCACACTAGAAATTGTTTACAATTCAAAAACTTTCCAAAATGCATGGCATGTGCATAACGGAAAAATACCTCAATATATATATATTCTTCACAATCTCGAGGAAAACAACACATTTATATAATTTTCAAGCTCATTAATAAACGTACACCACTAAGCAAATTTTTCAACGAATTTTGAGGAGTTTCACTTTTATTATCAAAACTAGAATTAGAATTGTTTGGAAAACATTTTTCGGAAGCTCTGAACATACTGCTACATTTTCTAAACTTCAAGTTACCATAATTTCCAGAAGAAACCATGCGGCGTTTACATGTTTAAAACTTAAATTTTCAGCGGGTGCGGCATTTCTACCCATGCGGCGTTTAGGTGCACTAAAAATAAAATATTTCCTCTGATGGTCATTGTGCATAGTTTGAATAACTTTGTCATTGTACATAGTTTGGATGGCGTTGTCATTGTACATAGACCACTCAGTAGTTCCAACACGAAAGACCACTGAGTTGCTTTTTGCGAACGTTATTTTGTTTACATTCTTTCCCTTGAACGGACCTACATGTCTTATTCACCCTAAACGGGATCTCAGAACAATAACATTCTTCCCCCTTTGAAATCAGCATTCTCATCATTTTGAATAATCTCTCTCCTCTGCCATTCGATGAATCTTCCAGGAACCATCCTCTCTCCACCCCTGCCTTTTCTGCAATTTTTTCCAAAGGCAGACACGACTCCACCTGCCTCGTAATAACAAACTCTGACGTATTTCCCCTTCAGCATGAATCGATTTTTCTTGGCATTCTGCCAGATACAGATCCCATCAGTTTGAGTACAAGTACTTGTTGGATAGTTTGTAAGGGCGGAAAATTTTTTAAAATGGCACCTAAACGGCACAGAAGCTATACTGCTGGTTTTAAGCTTAATGTAATTTCACGTGCTGAACAAATTGGAAATAGAGCAGCAGCTCGAGAGTTTGAAGTGGACGAGAGATGTATTCGACATTGGAGAACTGAAAAGAAGAACTTAAAAATATGCCACAACAGAAACGAGCCAAAAGAAGTGGTACTATAAGGTGGCCGAATCTAGAGGACGACCTTGCAAACTGGATAAAGGAGCAACGAAAAAAAGGAATGGCAATTTCGACTGTAAAAATTTGCTTACAAGCAAAATTTATAGCAAAGCAAATGAACATAAATGATTCCAAAGGAAGGCCTTGCTGGTGTAGCAGATTTATGAAAAGAAAAAATATTTCTGTGCGTACTAGAACAACAGTCGGGCAACAATTACCAATGGACTGGCAGGATAAAAAGGCATCTTTTCTAAAATATGTGACAGATATTATTGACAAAAGAAAACTTCTTCGGTCACAGATAATAAGTATGGATGAAACGCCGTTAGCTTCCGACTCTCCTGCAAACAGAACTGTTGATGAAACTGGTGCAAAAACTGTATCTGTGCTTACGACGGGGCATGAAAGAACGTCATTTACATGTGTGTTAGCTTGTGCCGCAAACGGTGACAAGCTAAAGCCAATGATCATTTTTAAACAGAAAACTATACTGAAGGGAGATTTTCCTAATGACGTAATTATTTGTGCAAACGAGAACAGCTGGATGTGAGAAACAATCATGCATGAGTGGCTACAAAAAGTTTCGCAGTATCGTAAGGGATCTTTTTTCCAACCAAAAGGGTTATTAATAATGGATTCCATGCGTGCGCATTTACTTGAGTCAGTGAAAAACCAGATGTCAAAAGTTGTCTATGACTGTAGCAATAATTTCTGGTGGTTTGACAAAAATCTTACAACCATTAGATTTGTCAGGCAATAAATCTTTCAAAGCTGATGTCCGAAAGCGGTGGGAGTGTTGGATGAGTGAAGAATTGCATACGTATACCAAAAGCGGAAATATGCGTAGAGCATCTTATGAAGAAGTTGCAAAGTGGGTAAGAAGTGCGTGGAAATCGGTAAAAACATCGTCAATAATAGCAGGATTCAAAGAAGCTGAAATTATATCTTTAGATAAAGAGACTGTAAACCAAGAGGATGAATGTGACGATCTGGAAGACTTAGACTTAGATCAGGATTTACTAAATCTTAATTCAGAAAGTGAAGAATCAGATTTTGATGGCTTCATATGATGTATAGTTTGCTGTAATTCCTTTTGTAAGTAAAATTTAAAATTTCCTTTTGTAATCCAAATTTAATAGTTCGTTGTTGCAACATTTTTATAATATAGTCTGAGTATTACAAATATGGACTTCTTTAGTGGGTATATATAAGTATATTCGTGAACACAAATATATTTTCAACATTTCTTACCTTTAAGTTATTTTTGAGTTATGATTTCATTTCATGCAATTTTCTTAACTTATATGTCATATATCAAGACATAGGTTGAGATTTTGCATCTATACGGCCCACAACGATGTCACGCACAATTAAATCTATTACGGCGTTTCTGTGTAATTTGAATTTTTTTCCCGCCATTTTTCTCGAGTGCGGCGTTTACGCTGATGCGGCCTTTCTTCCGGAAATTACGGTATGTCCCTTACAAAATTTGAGTGGGTACATTTAATGTACTCTCTCAAAAAGAAGTTCTCTGATAAGAGAGTATATTTCGTATATTTTCTCCTTTACAACTCTGCTTTTCACTATAGATCGTTACTGCCATTTAATGTAAAAAGCTGACAGTTATAAAAAATATCAACATTAAGCAATAAAAAGCATACACATGATTTTCAGTACAAAAACATCAAATATTCAGAAAATGCCTAGCTTGACTTTCCTGCTATGTTACGAATAAATCAAAGAAAAGAACAGGTCTTAATATGATGCATGGAAGCGAAATACATCAATACGAAATTTAAAACTAAATAAAATTCAATCAATATACCATATTTAGATTAGATTTTTAATTAATTTTAAATTTTAACATAATCATTTTATGAGAACAATGAAGTTGGATCAGGTACAGTCACTGAAACAATTCGAGGAGTCTTTTTACCTGCCATAGCTGCCAATCTTAAAATATAATAAACCTGGCATTTCTGGGAGATTTTTTGCATTGCACAGCAACACCATTCCAAAAAAAAACTCTAAACCAACTTTAATCTGCTTTATAATCTATAATTCAGGTTATTTAACTACTCATAATTTATAATATGGTTCTGATATAAAATACCATATTTCACGGCATATAAGATGACCCTTATTTAGAAGGCCACACACAAGGAAAACAGCATTCAGTACTGAATACTGAATTCAATACTGAATGCTAAAAATAGCATTCAGTATTGAAAGTTAAACTGCGTCCTTCACGTATAAGACGCAGGTAACTTTTTTGAGACCAAATTTAGGAAAAAAAGTGTGTCTTATATGCCGTCAAATATGGTACATTAATTTCTCATTAGAAATTCTAAATTTTATATTCACTATTTAATTTCATTTTGTAATTTACGTACATCAAAGTGAAGAAATACTGAGCAAGGAAGAACAACATTAATTTAATCAAAACTCTTTTAAACAGGAGCAAAATAAAATGAATAATTGATGCACCTGCTATTATGTGAATAAACTTAGTAATGTACCACATATTGATGTAAAACAAAATTAAGTAGTACAAATAACTAATTAAACATTATAGGAACTTCATATTAAGTTTTACAATAGTTAGTGTACAATAGATTAAGACATTGCAGGTCAAATAAAATTTAATCATAAAATAATGCTGAAAATTATTAAGAGCGAGGCAATGAAATGTGTTCAATTCAAGTTTCGTTAATTCAATAAATTTCATTTATACTCAGAAACACTTTCATTAGTAAAGACTAAAAATTAAAAACTCGGAGATTCGGGGATCTACCACAGGACATGATGGAAAACTGGAAGAACTCGCAGTTATGTGATATACATTTAACAGGACTTTCTATACTATTTTTGGTACTTGACACATTGGCCATGAAACTGTTGCCATGCACTGTGATTTAGTGCCAGTCATGAATAACCATGTGACCTAAAAACATGCATAATATTTATTTTTCTTCAATATAACCCAGTGGACTTTTGATAAGTTCCATTTTGTTTTTATGAACAAGAATATAAATTATCTGGGGTAGAGTAGACTTTAAGGTACCCCTAGTATTATGGCGAAGTTGCTGTTTGATTTATCGCCAAGTTGTTTCGTTTATGGTAGCCTGAGTAGTTGAATGTTATGGAAACCCTATTGTGATGTAATCGGGTGCATGATTCTGGGAAATTTTGAATTATGGGAATGTTTTGTAAGTGTTTTTGTGGTGTGTGTTGGTTTGATTCTTTAGAAGGTAAAATGGCCGAATGTAGTAAAATTAATTTGAAGTTTCGTACGATTTGGAGCGAAAGGGGAAAAGAGCTTTAATTGACTGGTGTGTAAATGAAGGTTTACTTAGCAGCCATTATAAGTGTCCTGTATGTAGGAAGGATATGCGTCTAGTCGAACATAAAAACCGTTTAGATGGATTTGAATGGGTTTGTAGGAAGAAAGATTCAGATGGTCACTATGTGAAGCCTTCGATCAGAAAGAGTACCTGGTTTGAAAAAGTCAT